ACAAGATACTCAATGGAACTTGGGGGACAATCAGCAAAAAGCTTTACATTCATTCAAGCTCGCACTTCAGCAGCCACCGACTCTACAATTGACAGAATGTACTCACCCTTTCATCGCAACAACGGATGCTTTTGGGTTGTGCATTGGTGGTGTTCTTTTGCAGCGTATCAACGGCAACGACCACACCGTCGCGTTTAATTCGAAACATCTGGGCCCATATAAATTAAAATAGCCAGCTCACGAGAAAGAGCTGTTAGCCATCAAGACTGGACTCGAAAATTGGCGTCCTTATCGCCACGGAAGACACTTTTCAGTCTATACAGACAATTACGCGTGCAGGTGGATGCTCCACCACCCCAAGGTGTCTCCAAAGATGGATCGTATGTTAACGTTCTTTACCAGTTTGACTTTGTCATATACCATGTCAAAGGGCGGTCAAATGTGGTGGATGACGCATTATCTCGTACAACCATGTCTGGAGAGCATTTCAACTAACCCGAGATGATTACGGATTATGTTCACGATATATCACACGCCGTACATGAGTGTACAGACGACTGTAATCAACACTTCACTCTTTTGGATACGCACATGGTTCACGCTGCGTTCATTCAGTACATTTCGCTGGATGTCTCCCAACTCTTACTCGACGATGTACATTTGCGGGGAGAGATTTGTCCGATAGGAGTTGCTCAAGAGCAAATATACAACGCCGAGTTTAACGACGAAGTGCGTATAGCGATTCAGTAAGGTTATCGCAAAGACAAGTGTTTAAAATATATCTGGAAAACCAAGCAGCCAAAAATGACTTCATAATCGACAAAGCACTCATATATCTGAAGCAAGGTGATGCAATGCAGCAAATATGAATTTCCGACATACCGGAAATAAAGACGAAGATTCTATACGAGTTTCATGATGCAGCCACAGCAGCATATCCACGAGTTCACAGAACTTACATGAAGTTGAAGCAATGGTACTACTGGCCAGAGATACTGATGAAGGTGCGCAAGTACGTCGAGACATGTGAAACATGCGCTATATGGAAGTCAAACACGCAGCGAAAGAAAGGATTACTTACACCCGTTCCGGAAGAATGTTAGTACGTAGTGTCAATGGACTTCATTACTGGACTATCCGTGTCGGAAGGTTGCGATGATATTTGCGTCGTCGTAGACAAGTTGTCAAAGATATCAATCTATGCTCCAACTTATACGACTGCCGATTCTAATGACACCACAAAGCTATTTTTCGATGCCGTAGTCCGACAATCATGGACTGACGAACATTATCATTAGCGATCTGTATCCGAAGTTCACGGCAAACTTTTGCAGCTCTCCAATGACCATAATGGGTGTCAAGATAAGCATGACGACCGCACATAGATCGCAAGCGGATGGACAAACAGAACGCCAAAACTTGGTGTTAGAAGACGCTTTACGCTGCCTAGTATCGTACAGTAATGCATTGTACCAATTTACTTAGAAGGTAGAATACGCGCACGCCACTATAGTAAACGCGTCTACTTAGCTCACCTCGTTTGAGATTGATACCAGACTAAAATTTCCAAACTGATTGCTCACGAATACAAAGACTACGATGGAATGGATCCGCAACCCATCTCAGAGATCGCCTCAAAGTTAGCCAGGGATCGCCAATACCTAGTGCGTAAGGTACGTAAAATCCAGAACAAGCCCAGGAGAGGCAGAAGAAGTACGACGACTCTAAACGAACAAGACTTACCTGTACTGTCGGTGACTTAGTTCTGCTGGATATCACAAACCTTCCACTCAAACAGTCAACAGTCAACACTCACATTGAGCTAAAGAAAGTCAAGCTCACAGAAAATAAAGTTGGACTGTATGAGATAATCTCGATGATCAACCCGAATGTAGCTAAATTGAAGCTACCGCAAAATATGACGAGACTGCACCCATCGTTATATTTACGTCGAACTACTCTATCCATATAATACGAATGCGTCTAAGTTCGCTGAACGACAAATGCCGAAAGGATCACCAATCATCCTTGAGTCAGATACCGGAGAGGAACTACACATTGTGGAAAAATTGCTTCGTGTTCGTCAGTGTAGCCGGCAAATTGGAACAACTAGTAAAATGGCACGGCCTCCCGGAGTGTGGTGGTACTTGGGAGCGCAGGAAAGCTATTCGCCACGTTTTGCATTGGCAGCGACTAGTTCAGTCCTTTCTAGACCACCATCGCGAAGGCAAGTCCGAAGAGATGTCATGCCACCGAGTCGGGCAACACGACTGAGCTGAATGTATGATATATAGGCCATGACGTCACAGGTTGACGTCACAGTCTGACGTCATTAGGAACATTGTAGAAGGACCTAGAAGGATAGGCTTAGAGGAGCGAACTAAGGACATATATTAATTCAGTTTTCAATTTACCTAGTGAACGACAAGTCTTCACATACAGTAACAACAATTTTAAGACTTTGACCTCAAACAATATCTTCGTCGTATAAGAACATAACGAAGAGCACATTGCAGCGCAATTTAGCAATAAACCATCTGGTGAGCACAAGATTGCATCATCAGACCAATGGCGCAACCTAGACGGAAGTAGGCAAGTCTGGGTGCTGTGGAACTTGGACGATAAAGTGAGCTATCTCAAGCGCGCGGCTTCTCTTATTTTGCACGGTCAGTCTTTTGCGTAGGCCGTCTTGATCAAGATTCTTTACCGAGCCGCAGACTTTTTTGCTACAAAATTTCTTGTACCCCTAAAAAAACAATAGCTTTAAGCTTGATTGTGCAAGCACCTACATCAAACTTACCTTCGTTCCCGATTTCACCCTTATTTTGTTCAAATCTGTACACGATACGATGAACGAGAAGTTACCGAAGTAGGGAAGTGGAATATTCGGTTAGACGATACAGGGGGCCCAGCCAGATGGCTATGATCAACCTCATACAAATCAAATTATTCGCGACAGATCAATCACATTCGGGCTGAGCGTCATGACAAGTTCCTAGCAATTAGAGTACAAGCATTCGGGGAGAAGTGTTCCCACTCTTCTAGCACAATCTATTTTGTGTTTTAGTATTGATATGAACGCTCTTACGGGTCTAGTCTGCCAAGCGTTTCACGCGTATACTTTTGCCTTGTAACGTCATTGGGCGCATATCACTTTTAGTTGGAAGCCGAGAGCTCAAAGTTCGCATTGATGCCAGCAGCTGGCAAAGTTGAATTATCGGCAACGGAATTAGGTGCTGCTGTAGAACAGGCTCCTTTGTTTGATCGATGTGGCGAAACCTACGCCGATTTCTTGCCCATTTATTGCAACGCGCTTAAAAATGGTATATGTAGAAGCAGGGTACTTTGTGAATGATAATCGATGCGCATACCTTGGAGTCGAGACGATACGCGTTGTTTGTATCAGTGGCAATTCGCGACGAACGTCGATTTGCTGCTTGTACCCTAACATCTGATATTTACCACAAAACGATTTCACTCGATATCGATTGTGTGCACCGATCGAGGATCTAGCTCAGCTGGTAAGATATTCTCTGCATCCATGTTTTCTTCTACGACTGCTACATACCGGGATCATGCCTTGACCACCTTCTTATTCAAAGCATGTGGCTTTGCTCCACGACTACTGACGTACGGATACCCGTTCCACACATCGTCGACAGCGGACTTTTCTTGGATTTTCCAAGAAAATAGCTCGCTTACATCTCGCGAATCGGCATGTATGGATCAGTCTCGTGTGTGAGGAGTCGACAGACCGATTTTTCCATATGCCTTTCGTGCCATGTCATCTCAGGACATCACATCTTGCGATACAGAGGCACACACAAGATCTGGACGCAGCCACCACGTGGTAGCACCAGCTCCAACATGAGTGACTCGGTATAGCCAAGCTAGGATGGCGACGTAGACACTCAGTCTCAGACGTTCAATGCCATCCAGATCCATGATCACCAACGGACGCTTTTGTTAGTATCACATTGATGTCCAACTGGTACAAGTTTGCGGATGCATCTGCACAAAGTCATGTACTTGATGCTCAGCGTATGATCACTGACATAATCGAGTCATTGTAGCGGTAGCTGTAGCTTCATAGCTAGATCAGCGTTGCTTCAGCCTAACGCATGTGTCTTGGCGAGCGATGCAACATAGTGTACGATCTTGATCTTCTTGATCATGTCTCTGCCGCGGCATGGAACGTGCACTTCTGCTAGCGTGCATGAGCGAGTCCGGTTGCCAAATTTGTTCTAGTCGCTGTCAAGTGTCTGCCCTCTTGCTCTATGCTGTACGTGCTCATGTTTATATTTTTGTATCTATCGTGCTGACTGCTACGTTGGAGCTGAGCTGACTGTCGATTGTCGTGGATGGGCAGCCTTCAGATTAACTTGCTGGAAGTAGTGCCTCAGAGATCAAGACGTCGCGATAAACAACTGGTGTCACATTGCATGAGCTGTTTATTGCTGAGGCAACACAGGTGGCAGTCCCCTGACTCGTATGCTTCTCCTCTTGTGGGTAAGACACAAAGGTACTTGCAACAGCTTTTGTAGCTTAGCGTAGAAACGCGACTGGCGCTGTTTTTTGTCTGTCGCGGTCGAGCTCAGTGACCTCATCGATTCGACGTATACTCGAAAACTGTCAGCTACACAAAATGTAGCTGACAATTGTAGAGCACACATCTAATTGTCGAGGTGCCTGTCTAGAAACCAACTGGTCTGCCTCATAGGTCAGCAGCAGCAGACCGACGAGAGCGGATATTATCTTATCTGCAAAGCCAGGCAACTCCTTCGTTTCCCTCTCCCTGGCGTTAGTGACCTCCCCTCGCCCCTTCCACCTACAATTCCCACCTGCACCGCTCGTCGTAGTCACTATCGCAAGAGCCAAACCTCTTGCAAAAAAGCACTGGCCGCCATGCCATTCCCACACAGTCACGCAAGACGAGTTCCCAAACTACTACCACAAGTACTATCACAAGTACTACCGCCTCACAGAGCGACTGGAACACAATGGAAGACGAGAAGCTCATTCGTCTCCATGACGTGCTCTCGAAGCTCCGTCCGGGCGGCAAAAAGGTGAGCGAAAGCGGCAGAAAAGACAGTTACGCGGTAGTAGTAGTAGTAGTAGTAGTAGTTTTGCAGTAGCAAAAGTCGCAGCCAAAGGGGTCCACTTGACCAGAAATTCACGCGGTGATCCTCTTAAAACTGCGACTGGTAACGACCGTTTCGATGGTGACTGACTTTTTGTATGTGAATGCCGTCTCTGTTTCTGTGTGTGTGTGTGTCTCTCTCTCTCTCTCTTTGCGTCTGTGTGTTGTAGGGAGGTCTGGGCTTTGCTTCGGTGAATGGTCGAAAGGGAGTGAAGCGGTCGGATGGATTGCCGAACAATGGACTGTACTCGATGTTTGTGCGTCAGGGCGAGGGCGGCTACCAGCACAAGCACTGGGAAGAAGAGGGCTCGGAGGCGGTACCTTTGGAGAGTAAAGAGGAGAAGAAGGAGAAGAAGAAGAGCAAGAGAGATCGAGAGAAGAAGAAGAAGAAGAGGGAGAAAAAGAAGAAGGAGGAGGAGACGCGCAAGAAAAAGAGAGGGGAGAGCAAGAAGAAGAAGAGGGAGACGGTCGAGCCGGTTGAGGGCAGTGACGAGGAGTCCGAGGAGCTGGTGCTGAAGGAGAAGACGAGAGAGGAGCTGGAGAAGGCCAAGAAGGCCAAGAAGGCCAAGAAGAAGGCCAAACGTGCTGCTGCTGTTGCTGCTATCAAGGAGGAAGATGAGGTCGAGATTTATGCGGAGAAGAAGAAGAAGAAGAAGAGCAAGAAGCGGAAACTGGAGTTAGTCGAGTCGGACGAAGCGGTTGTTGAAGCAAAAGATGACAAGGTGGAGACGACGGATGTGGCAGAGGAGCGAAAGCAAAAGGCAAAGAAGAAAAGCAAGAAGAAGCACGTGGAAGAGGCTGGAGTTGAGGCGGTTGCTACGAAGAAAAAGGAGGGGAAGAAGGACAAGACGGAGAAGAAGCTGAAGAAGAAGCGGAAGTCGAAGAAGGATTAGAAGCTGAAGAAGAGGAGGATGATGACGAAGGAGTAAAAGCTGAGCAAGTGTCTCGCAGTAGATAGACGAGATGCGGTGCATATGGTTGAACGTTTGCTTTGTATTCGGACTGGACCTTCAACTGCAAACGTCACTATTTACTACTCGGTTGCCTGGACCTACGGTCACCTCGGTGGGATCGCGTAGGTTTCTGCTCACGACATGTGACGATTTCCAGCAGCATGCTCAGGTACATCACGCGGTCTTCCAGTGTCTTGTGCTGCAGAAACCGGTCGGCGTGCAAGTTGATAACGGTCCAGCCCAAAAGCTTCAGGTGTCGTGTCTTGAGATCCACGAAACCAAACGGCTTCGGTTCCTTGTCTTCATCGCCCGGCTCGGGTACCGCATAGCAATCGGACTGGTTGATCTCGATCGCAATCTTCTGCCTCGGTGCCACCACGTCGAAGTGGTAGCTCGTCTCCAACCCGTACGAGGTTTCGTTGGCAATCTTGAGCTCGTCGAGTGCCGTGCAGACAAGGTGGTGCAAGCGATACGACGAGCTCTTGCTCTTCTTTTGGTGAGCTTCAAACGCTTGCTTACACTCATCCTCTAGAGCCGGCGACAGTCTCAAATCGCCGGGTCGGCCGTGGAGCTCACAGTCTAAATGAACTTGGTACGCCTTCGACTTGAGCACTCGGAGCTTGTACAGAGGCATATCGAGCTTGTTCAGCGCTTGTGAGTTGATCTCGCGAAAGGCTCGTCGGAACAGATCTTCGTCGAAACTCTCGGCGAACAGGAATGATCGAGCCAGCGGAATAAGCACCTCAGCCGCTCGCTGTTTGTCCTCTCCGCTCATGTTCGCTCCGTCAAGCTCGGATACCACCATCTTGCTGGTTGCCTCCAAAGTGTCCAAGACCCACTTACTCCTCCGACTCTCCCTTGGCAGTAAATGCACGATCGCTGAGGCAATCATGCAGGCTTCGTGTGCGCTTAGTTTTGGCTCGTCAGCTTGCATCAGGAACACAGCTTGCGCAGCCACAGGTCTGTGTACAAAACAATCAGCTTAGCTGCTACCTTACCACAGCAAGAGCTTGACCTGACGTACTGTAGAATTGTCGCGCGCCCCACGCCAAGCCGCATCAGTGCTGTCGTAAGATTGGAAAGCGCTTGGCCAGTTTTGAATGCGGCAATACCAAAGTTGACTAGCTTTTCAGTCTCATCGATCAGTTTCCAGAATCTGATGCACAAGGGCGGGCAAAAGATACACAACACCTTAGTGCCAATTGCAGTGCTTTCGGCCATCGTACGCACGACCTACCGCTTCGTATCCAAGGCAGTAGGCTTGATCGACGACTGGGTCAATGGATTTGGCGACGGAATTGCTAGCAACTCATCTTCCGGAGCTTCAGATTTGTTGGAGCTGTTGCTATAACGGACTGCCTGTTTGTACAGTTCGACGAAAAGCCATGGCGAGCCAAAGTCAGCACCGAGTAAAGCACGACACGACCTGCAACGAGAGACGCCGTACCGACAAGTCTGCTCGAGTCGTTCTCGTCGCCACGAATCGGCCTGCGCGATCGATCGCCGTCCGAATATTGTACTGATTCAGCTCGGGCACCTACAACAACAAGTGGCACGTGTTATCTATGGCCTGTCACCAACTGCTTCTTTCAGGTCGCACTCACGTTCTCGTCCACGACGCGCAGCAGCTCTTGCAAATCCTTTGCCATGAGGATTGTGCGATTCAGCTCCGCTGTGTCGGTCGAGTGGAGCTGGATGTTGTCCACTCTGCGGATCTGCAGCAAGTCCTTGAGTTGTGGCTGCGTCTCTGCGATCAAGATCAGCTCGGACCACATTGCAAAGCTCAGCACCGATGACGGATAGCCCGATAACGACAGCAACGGCGACTCGTCTTCCGACAATTGGATTGCCACACGAGCAGCACTGAACAGAACTCTGTCGGACGAAAAGACCCGCGCCAATGTCCCGACTTGATAATTGCACTTGATGCAGAGCATTTTGTGCTTTTTCCAGCGGGCATCAACTTCCTCGACGGCGTCTTCGGGGAACAAGTTCTTCAACGACTCGTCCGTTGTATTCGATACGTGAATTCCATTTCGCCTGCGTATGTGTATAGATCAAGTCAATAACAGCATGGACACGTGAGTCCTACTACTATCCAGTGCGTTTAGCAAAAGATCCAGCACCAACAAACATCTCGTGTCGCTTTTCAGTGGATAAAACCCAAACGAGCAGGCGTACCATCGGAAAAAGACCAGGTCTTTTGTCGCACTTAACGTCGTGTTGCATTTGCCGCACACCAGACGAGGTGTGGGTTTTTTATCGTGTGTGTCAGCGTCCAGCGCAGCAGACTCCACGGGCGTAGGGTACGTCGCACTGAAGGCGAAACAGCGACGACCTGGCAGACGCACAGGGTCCGGCACGGCCACAGAAGGGGGCTGCAGTGCATTCGGGCGCTGGCGCACGCTCGAGATGCTGGAGCGACGCAGCGCGAGCCGTACGTGCATGGTGGGTGGGTGGTCAAGCGGGTGGTGGGTGGAAGAGATGGATGTTGCAGCAGAAGACAATGTTGCGCGGACAGAGAGGGTACGCTTGTGAGCTGATGTTTTAAACACGTCGTTGTCTTGTTTTTAACACGTCGGAGACGGCACGACGTAGATGAACTCCTCGTGACTGTGCGAGCAGCTCGCAGCGCAGCTGTAGACAAGGAGACTGAGCCAATCCATACCACCCGGTGGCACGACTGCTGTGGAACCACTGGCCGTCGTTCCGTGCACCGTCGGACGCGCTTGCTGCTGCAGAGACGCGGGGCCGACTTCGACTGCGTACTTATCGACCTGCAGAAAATAATTAATGGTCGGCGTCAACTGCATTTCGAACAAGCGCTCGCGTCCACAACCAGGACAATGCGGGACCTCCAGACCTTGTGGCTTCACCACTGGCCACAGCGGTTCGCCGCCGTAATCATAGCGAAGACACTGCAATGGACAGCGGCGGATTCGCTGTTGGAAGCGCAGCAAATGCCGCTGTTCCGCTGGTGTCTTTTCATACGACTCGCCCGTTGACTGTGCTGCACCGGTCGACTGCGCGGCGCCGCTCTTCTTCTTCTGTGCATTCATCATCACGTTGCGCAAGTCTCGAACTTCGCTGGGCTTGTCCTCCTCCTCGGCTTTCATGTACTGCTCCAGCAACTCCTTCTCGTGCGCAAAGTCGTGCTCAGCCGTAACAGCTTCGTACGGTTCGTCGACCACTTCGATCAACAGAGCTGGGAACGCGTTCCCACCATTGCTTGTAGCAGTCTCCTTCTGCTGCTGTTGCTGCTGCTGTACTGTCTTCTGCGACGATACAGTCGGTCTAGTCGTTACTGCGCTCGTTTGAATAGCCTCGTCACGCTGTTGCAGCAGCGCCTCGAGGTCCACGACAAGATCATCATCTGCTCTGTGGCTATGGTCGTCGTCGTCATTGTCGTCACTCCAGTCGCTACCGTCACTGCCTGCCCCCCAAGCGAGCGTCACTTTGTCAATCTGCTCGGTCACTTGGTCCACTTCCGCTCGAGCAGCAGTCGCCTCCACTGGCTCAACCTGATCGCGCAGCACTCGCCAGCTGCCCCGCACTTGGGTACACGACACCGAGTTGCACCCAAAGACGTACAGCGTCCGGTCCGTCTCGACTGGAGCATACACTTGGGCGACTAAGAACAGTCCTTTGCCACAGTTCGAACACGTCAAGTTCGCCGCTGCTGACGGCGGCTGCGTCGAGTAATACGCCTACAACCACACGGCACACTGTCAGAACCGCAACGGATCGACTCACACTTGTGCAGCGAGAGGGTGACGTACCGGCGTACCGCCTGCTTTCGACACGTAGGGCGAGCTGTTGTCCACGCTCTGGCGCTTCTGGACCAGCCCCAGCAGCACGAGGCGCTCTTCGTCCATCAACTGTCCGGTGTGGTCGTGCAGGAGCGCGATGATTGGTCAAAAGACAGTTCACTTTACCCACTCGAGTAGTAGTATGACTTGTACGAGTAGTAGTACTACCGAGTGGTGAATGGGAGCGAGCGAAGTACTATTTAGCAATACTGCTCCCGCACACGTCCAAGACCGAAACGAGAAGAACAGCCGATCGTAAGCAGAATATCTGACCTGAAAAGAGCGATTTTGCTCTGTCAAATAATATCCAGGATAAAAGCCAGCCGCGAACGGAGCTCCTCACGTCGGGCGTTATCTGACTGACTGAGTGACTGACAAACAGACCCAGTCACGAATCAAACCCCTGGAAGCCAACGAGGCGACCGACCGACCGACCGACCGACCGACCGACACAATGAGCGGCAACAAGAAGGAGATCCCGTCCGAATACCGCATCTCGGAGAAGTGGGACAAGTGTCTGGAGAACTTTGCGCTGTACTTCGGTACCGGTCTCGTGGCCGGTGGGCTCACGTCGCTTGTTCTGGCGCGTACGTGTGCCGTTGTGCGGCTTGAGAGGCGGCAGTAGCCGAAGCAGGTCATAAGCTGACGACGGTGGCTTTGCTCCGCTTTTTGTGGCTTGCAGGTTCGGGTGCCGGCCGCGGACTGGTGACAGGACTGGGCGCGGGTGCAGGTGCTGGCTCGAGCTGGACGACGTGCCAAATGGCGTTTGCTGGCAATGACCACGCGCAGGCCGCTCTGAACAAGACGGACAAGGCGGTGGGGGACTTGAAAGAAAAGCTCTCGGGCTCTGACTGAGTGTGTTGTGTATTGCTCGGTCACAGAGCGGCAAGCGCGGTCAACAGCGTCGCTGGTTGTCTCTTGTTGTGGCCGAGTTCAAGTGCAGCACGACAGGTCCATGTCGAATCGTGTGGAGGGGGGGGTGCGAGACGTAAAGTCGCACGTCAGGTGCTGGGTCTGAACGAAACCGAACAATGGGAAAGAAATACAGTCGAAAGAACATGCGAGTTAGTGCTATAGGATGATGGTCAGCGGACTGTCATGCTGTTTTGTGCTTATACCGGGGGGTTGCGACTCGTGCAGGTAGCCAGATAGCCTCTCGACTTTGTCCACCATCGCATCTTCGAGAAGCAGAAAATGGAAGAAGCGGCAGCGTGGACCGCAGCTCTCTTGTGCCGTTACGATTTCTGCTCAAAGACAAACTCGTACTCACCACCACCAATCTCCACTTTGGTAGGCTTGCTAAGCGTGAGCTCATACGGCTCGTGGGCCTCGAGTTGCACATTGTCAACACGAGTGCCGTTGGTACTGTCCAGGTCGATGAAGAACAGCTTCCCTGTTGTCTCCATTTTGATCTGCAAGGTGTCAGTTGTTCCGGTCAGAGATGGCAACACGCATTCGACATCAAGATACTCCTTGACTTGCACCCACCTCTACATGCGATGTTGAAAGCTCTGAATCCTTTGGCACACTCAGACCGCGAGGTGGGCGAAATTTACGGCCAGTCGATCGACCGATGAAGCACGACGAATGCCGTTTCTGCACAACAATCAATCAATCCGTGTGAGCTGGCCGTTTTCCATGTACAGCCGTTGCAGATCGAAACAGCGCAGACGCATCGTCACCTTGTCGATATCCATACAGAAGTTCCTTCCTTGATACGGTCCAGAAATGCACCTGACCAAGATTGTAAAAGCCCGCGGGACATCCTCGCCATCTTGACAGCAGGCACAAACATACACCGTAAACGGAACACAAGAGCATGTCAGTGCACGACGCATCACATGACGAATGCTCCACCTTTCTCCTACGACCGCACCATTGTCAACGTTCTCCTTCTCTGCTGCCAGTGCATCCAGCAGCGCCTGTTTGCCCTTTTCGAACTCTCGTCGTAACTCATCGGCTCGCACTTTTGCTTGTTCCAACAGTATCTGCAGTGAAGCGTTCCATCCATATGCAGCAGACTTAGTCCCACGCAGCGCTACTCACGGCAGCATTGATCGACAACGTACTTTCGATGACGCCTGGCAGTCCCTCAGCAAAAACGCCTGCACGTCAATAGTATCCATATCGGCCATACTTTGGTCGCTTTCGCGTTTGCGACTCGCTCGAGACACTCGCCCTGGTGCAACATTACGAGCAACGACACATCATTGGTCAATAATCGTTCATCGCCTCTCACAGCGAGCTCACGCTCTCCAAGCAGCTGTCGGGCGCCAAGCGGCAATGCCAGCGATCAAGTGACGCGTTGTTACTGGCCATAGCAGGCGCACCTGTAGACGAAGCAGCCGCTTGCTTGCCGCGCGCGGCCGCAGCTTCCGTTGCCGCATGCGTTCGCTTCATGGTTTCTAAACAGGTGCCAAAAAAGGGCTACATCGTTTCTATTGCGTGATTTCTATATGCATCATTATAGCCAATCCGAGCGCGGCCATGCGTTAGGAACAGCGTGCCTAACGGTTACACTGCCGCCATGGCCGACACGCGACAGAAGAACGTGATCGTGAGCAAACCCATTCTGTATGGATCTGTCGCCACGTATCTTGGGCGGAAAGCCGAGGAGACGAAGACGCATCGCTGGTCGATCTACCTGCGTGGCGTGGACAACGAGGACCTGTCGTACCTGATCAGCAAGGTCGTGATTAGTCTGCACGTGAGCTTTGCCAACCCCGTGCGAGGTACGCCGCTCTGTTTTTTCCTATCAGTTATGTTTTAATGTGTGTCAACGTGTATCCTCTGAAAACGAATACGTTCGTGGAAACGACGCAGTGTTAACCGAACCGCCGTATGAAGTCACGGAACTCGGGTGGGGCGAGTTCGAAACGCGTATTCAGATTTACTTTCACGATACGAACGAACGGCCCATTAGCATTATCCATTTGCTCGTGCTCTATCCACCCAATAGCCAGCCGGCGAGTACGAAAAAGGTGATGATATGTGTTTTCTTGTAGACTGCTGCTGTCTTTTTTTTCAGCCTGTAACTGTGTTTTTCGTGTCGCTCCTTTTTTCGTGCGGCGCTGTAATCTTTTTTTGTCGGTTGTGTGTTATGTTGTGGTTCTATTGTTTGTTGCAGCCCGTGGTAAGCGAGTTCTACGACGAACTCGTGTTCAATGAGCCGACCGAGTTCTTCCACAAGAAACTGATGGCGGGCCCCGACCGGCAGTCGCCGCCGCTGACTATGCAGGACCACTTGCCGACGTACTCGGACGTTGAGGTTCTAAAGACGCTGGCTCATGCCGAGGCGTTCGTGCAGAAGGAGATCCAGGATGCTAAAACGTTGTTGCTGAGTGCTGACATGGAGATTCGAGAACTCAAGGAGCGTATCTCCGAACACACGAAGAAGAAGAAACAAACGGACAAACTGGCAACTGCATCTGCGTGTCCTCCAGTTGTGTTGCCTTGACGCAGTAACCGTTTGGTACAGGGTGCTAGACAATCGACGCGACAAGATGTAGAGGTGTCGAAAATGCTGAGCTTGGTCGGACCCTGAGTACTCTATGAGGTAGCTGACTCGATGGACAGCGACGGGAAGCGTGATGCCAGTCGATACGCGACAACCCACATTCTGCAATGTACAGATGGGCATCTGTGCATCTCAGCATGCCAAGCACAAGGTGCGGTAGCTCGAGTTTGCTTGTGTAAGTGCAGTAGGTGTATTGTCGACTCTCTCACTCGAATAGGTTGAAGAGCATCAAGTCATGTGGTCTAACGTGATTGAGAATCCTCTTTGCCTCGCAATAGTCCATTGCCTTACAAAATCCTCTCAGCTTCTTCGCTACGGTTTCTCGTTCACCTGGGCGCTCGGTCGAGTTGTGGTTGGTATTTGCTCCTCCTGCAAGATACTCTGTGCAATGACGTTGTACCCTACGCATACTATGACAGAGCGCTGCACTATGCTGTCAGTTCCTACTCCTATCGAGCCAGGTGTACTGCAAACATTGATAAAGGGTGCTACATCTCGACGAGCCGAATGGAATGGAAGGCGCAGGCAAGCTAGATGCAATTCACAGATGCGACAAAACATTGATGCTGTCAAGAAAGTAACGCCTGGACTGTCGTGAGCAACCCCTTGACCGCCGTGAGCTGGCTACATCGAAAGTGGATATCCAAGACGGAACGGAAAGCGAAATGAAAACATTTGGAATACTACAGGTCGCGTTGTGGCTGCATGTGGAAAGGAGCAAATTGTGTACGAGACTACACCGGTACTTCTGCGGCAATGACGTAAAAGCCGAACGCAAGATCGATGTGGTACCTACCAGCAAAGAATGGCGCGCTCTGCCAAGCACGAAGATTCGTGCAAGCTTGCGCTAAAGTGAATAAAGACCGCTCACGATGACGTTCGGAGAAGTCCCGAAGGCAAAGAGACATGTTATCGACACGCTATACATGTTTGACAAAGTACACCGGAGCATTGTACTCGCTTCGGCACATTCAGCGAAGACGTATGGACTCGAAGCTGTTGCCTGGATCATCATGGTTTGGATCGCGAGAAAGAGTGAAGCGGCAAAGACATTTTGAACCAAAAGCAGGTCAACGACGAGCAAGAAGCGCGTTGAAACGACTAACTGGTCCGAGAGCGACCACAGCTGCTTGAAATGAGTATGGTACAACGACAAAAAGCAGAGAGGAACTGCGACAATGTACTGCATAGCGACAATCAAGTCTGCAGAGAGCGCAGTGATGGATAAGCAAGCGACCATAAGGTGGATGAACAAAGGTCGATGCACTTTGCAGACGGTCAACAAGTTTCCACAACGACGACATCGTTGTACGTCATTCACGACTGTCACTAGACGTTCTCTGTGTTCTAGCATTGCTGACCTGCTTGGTGCATGCACGAACACCGCTAGATGCAAGAAAGCAACTGCAATGCATGCACACGAATGCCATCGGGCTCACCGAAGAAGTACATGCTTGGCATAAGGTGACCAGTGGTTGTACAATAACTGTCTGAAGCTGACTGGAAGTACACGGGCTACCAGCTGTGTGCACCCATTCAATGTGCAGTGGTAACGAGATGGGTCTGTCTTCCACAGTGGCAGACAGACAGTCCCTACATCTTACCGCATCAAAGCAGGTGGTTGATCGTATCCGTGTTACATCGACCACCTGCTTTGGATATGGAAAGAAGGGGACAACTCGAAAGTGCACGCAACTGTTCTTCGCGCAAGGGAATCTCGAAGGATATGAAGTGGCCGTCCGGCAATTGGGTACAACTGCTGGCTATAACTGCTTCTGCGTGACTATCTCATCGTGTCATCGCAGATATGCTGACAGGACGGCAGAAGCTCAGCTCCTGGTGGTCAACAATGTAGCCAAGAGGTCGCATGGCTCAGCCGTTTCATCGACAACGTGGAAGATCTGCCGTAGGACAAACGTCCTGTGGCTTGATGAGGGCCACGCTACAACGCGCAACCAAATCAATGCGCAGCCATAACGAGCGGTCATCCGACTGGATGGACTGCTGCCGGTACCTATTGCTAAGGTCGGCATGCAGAGAAATGCCATTCTGATGGGTGTCATCTGCGGAGCACACGGCAGCAACGATCAACTGGTACTTCTGGCGTGAGGGTTTCCTACACACCGCAAGCGAAGAGAAGCGCGTGAGAGCTGAGCAACAGGAGTCGAAAGCGCACGAGAGAGCAAGAGAGGAATTGAATTGGGAGACCGATCAATGCTCGACTGGTACACATCTCGAGGTCTGCACACGCTCGTGCATGTCCACAGCTCAACCAAATGATGACTGCCAAGTCCCTCATGGATGGAGCAACAGCCTACTGGTGCAGAGGTACCACCTGCCAAACCACGCAGCTACAATGCAACAACACGCCGCCATCTCCGCCACCAACAAACGTTCCGCGTGAGCCATTGCAGCTGCGATAAACAGCTCAAAACTCCATCGAGCGCTGCTGACCTCGTCCTGCTCTCCTATAGCAGAGCAAGGAGTCGTCAACTCGAACAGATTCCGACGATCAACGGCAGTCGTCGAGGAGCCCCCCCCCCCCAACAACCATTCGCACTCGTGTTGGACCACGAGCGTGTCACAAACCCAACAGTAGCCGCGTCTCGACGAGTAACGTACAGGAAGTAGCATAGACGTACGAGTACGACCCGCGATCCAAGAGCTCCATCCGACGTCTGTTTGCCAGAGATCTCGCAGATCGCGTCGGTTCAGACAGAGCGGACGTGACCCGCTCGGTCCAAAACAGTGCCATCGATTGTCTAGCAGCAGTAGCAGCGCCCAATCGGTCCATCCATCGATCCATTCGCTCTCTCTCTCTCTCTCTCTCTGCATCCCCTCGATCCCATCCATCGCGTCGTGCACTTCATTCCTCATTGCGACACTGAGCGCACCACGTGAACCGCCACGTCGCCTTCTCCCCACACCCGTTTGTCTCGAAGAAGACACAATGGAGAGCTTTCCAGCGGCCCACCCCACCGCAAAGCAGCCGACCGACCGCACGCAACAACAGCAGCAACAGGATGAGGTCTCTCCCTACACACCGTCGCACCTGCTCCATCCCCTGCCGCGCAGTGCCATGTTTGGCTCCTGCACGCAAACCGCATCGACTGTGCTCGCCGTGTTTTTCCACGTCGTAAACCAGAGCCGCAACGCCTCCGATACCACAGCAGTTCCTTCGCCTCCCACCGACGACAATGAGGTCACCCGCACGGCCAAAGTCCTGTACGTCGCTCTGCTCGAGACCGTGCAAAAGGCCCGAGGCGAGTGGCAGGGCTTCCTCTCGTCGTCGACGGCCGAAGAGCAGGAAAACCCGACCGCAGCCGGAGCAGTTGTCCCCAGTGCCCGTGAGCTCCTTACAACGCGTCTAACTCAGGCGACCGCCTCCCCCACTGCCCAGTGCACTGTGCTCGCAAAGCTGCTCGACGTGAGTCTCCAGAGCCTGCGGGGACCGCTCGTGCCGGCGGAGCTCTACGCCCTTCAAAAGACAAACGCACTGCTGCAACGCGAGCGACTCGTCGTACCGCCGGCGTTTGCGACGCTATTGGCATTGCGAGAGCTCTTCTTGAGCCGTCTCGAACGCGACGTGCGCCACTGTCTGCTGCGGTTGTTGGCGTTGTGGGACCTCTTGGCCCGCGCAGGCAGTGAGCCGCACGCGCTGACCAAAGTGGTGGCAGCGAATCAGCACTACGTCCTGAGCAAGTCGAGCGACTGCAGCCGTATGGCCCCGAAGAGCGACCGACGGGATCACGTGGCAACCGACTTGTTGCGATTGATGGTCCTCTACCGGGACGTGCTCTTCAGCGACATGGAGGTGACCCCCTTACGTGCACGAGGTGAGACGTCGTGAGGGACGTGACGGCTGACCGCTCTCTGTGTCTGTGTCTGTCTTCTCTTGTGGTGTGCGTTGCAGTACCTCCCGATCAAACAGGAGCTGCACGTGCCTTCGAAGCTGCTGCTGGTTCCCGAAGACACGTGGGCGTCCGACACCGAGTCGACTAAAGACGACGGGCAGTTCTCGAGCGACGGCGATGTCAGCGGCAGCAGTAGCGAAGACAACAGCCAACGGGTATGCCGGCGCAGGCGCTGGTACGCACAACGACCGACTGCCGTCTCGAACCCACTTGTGTCGGGATCGATGCTGCTCAACGACGAAGACGCGTCTCAAGGCGGCGAGACGGACGGCAGCAGGAGGTCACTGCCCCTGCGCAGTCGGTGCAGCAGCTTTCGCCGTCGTTCGGCCGCGCGCAAGACAATGCGGTCGCAGAGTCTCTCGGCGCTTCCTCTGCCCGCAGGCGCAGCAGCGCGTCCACCAGTGCCAGTCAAGTTGTCGAGCAGTATTGGAAGTCTCCCGCCGCTGTACAGTGCACTGCGCCACGTGAGACCTCCGAGACGAGTCGCAAGTGATAGTACCCGCAAGTCGCCCACTTTCGACGGGTCCAGTCGAGTACCGTCTTCCGACACTGTGGACATGTCGAGGAAACTCGCACGACGACGCAGTTCGTTGTCCAGTTCGAGTCGCACGTGCCGGCAAAAAGAAGAGAACGATGGACCAGAGTCGGATCCGAGCGAGTCGTCGACCGCTGGTCCGAGCCGCTGTCGGGGGAAGAAGACGAAGGAGCAGTCCGTGAGAAGCTCAACCAGCAGCTCGTCCGCCGCTCGTATCGCCTCCAGCAGTCGCAGTTCAACGGCAGATCGAGCGGTGCACGACAGTGTGTACCAGTTCTCTCCGCACGGCCTTCAGGACCGACGGGAGACGCCAACGTACCTGTCCAAAGCAGCTTCGTACCTGACGACCCCCGTGGCGGTGGCGACCTTATGTGTGCTCACATCCGTAGCCACACTGGCCATCTTTGGCATGCGCAAGACTGTGCACGACTGAGCCCAAGCGACTGGCAACGGATGGGTGCGAGCGCAGTGGTGGCGAGCAATGGCGGGGAGTCGGTCGCACACGGACAGTGAGTGAGGAAGGAAGTAGAGCGGTCACGTGAACGACGTTGCGGACTACGAAAGGTGACCAGACTTGTTGCCATCACTTCACGAAGCGGGAAGGTGCCATCACTTCCAGTTGGCCAAAGTGGAGACCCGTCACAACACGTGCGGCCCGTTGTCTGGCAAGTTGCGCACTTGTGTGCCCCAACGTCCGGACGTGCAAACCGGTCGTCTCGATCCTACTTTGGGTCAAAGGCCGCTCCTGAGCCGATGACGGCTCGTCGTAATCGCGACGACCAGTGACGACTATCAGTGACAACCGATACCGAAATCGACAGCGGATTGTGGTTGGACGTGATAGGCCGCCGTCATCATATGCCGCGCATGTGAGACAGAGAGAGACAGAGAGAGCGCGGAACAAAACAATAGACTGACGACTGACAGCGACAAGGTACAAGATGTCGGCCAATGCCTCCAGTCACTATGGTACTACTACTACTACTACTGCAGTTGCAGAAGCTGAGGACGCACAAGCAGAAGCACTTCGAAAGTCTACGGCGGCTTTGCCTTCCCAGCTGCTGCCAGGTCGCGGCGGTTTGATTCGTCCTCAAACGTCTCTGCTACTTGACGTCCTGACGCAGACGCTACGAATTCCGTCCCCATCACGTCACTGCTCGTGGCCTGCGACCGCACACAGGTCCATCGCAAAAACCCGCTGACCTGTCGCGACCTCTGTGTCTCCTGTAGCCCATAAACGCCACTCGCGTAACTAACTCCCACACGTTTCCCGTCCGTCGTCTTCCGCTAGAACTCTATCGATTCGACACATGTCGGCAACGCAACGTCCCTCTGCGCCGGTCGTTCAGACGCAACAACAGTTCCGCGTGACTCGATGGAGGCGGAACGTCCAGTCGTTCGCCCGAAAGGCCGTTTGCTTCGAATACGCACCACGTAAACACGAACGACGTCGAACGACAGACAGACAGACAGACAGACCCCCCACCTTACGCGTTTGTTTGTTGACTACGTAAACGCGTTCGACCGCATCAAAGTTCAACGGCACTTCCCATCCCGTCACGAGTGTCCAACAGCCGGAAACGCCGTGTCCCACGCCCGTCCAAACCAACGACCCGCCGAGTCGTTCCCCTCTCGACGCTATGTATGCCCCACCGCCCCAGCGCTTACCACAGCACCAGTCCACACGTTCTGATCGGTCCCGCAACAGAGCCATCGCAACAGCGCACTGTCACTCTCCCGGCCGCTCAAAGCTCAACGTGCATCCAATGCGGTCTGTCTCACGGCGGCTGACGCTCAAACGTCGTACGTCCATCAGGTGCCGCAAAAACGCCACTAGCGGTGTCGCCGCCGATCGATCACTTGTTGTGTTTCAACAATTGCAGCAGCGCAGCAGCAGCAGCAGCAGCAGTAGCAGTAGCATCGGCAGAGGTATGTGGTCCCCTCTGGTCCCCTCTCCCCTACTGACTGACGCTGCAGCAGCTGCCTCGCGTCCAGCTGCCTCTATGCCCGCGAACACGACCGGAAGACATGCAATGAGCCGCCAGCTGCTCTCGTCGCACACAGACGGAAGCGCTCACCGACGGCGCTCGGTGCGATTCGCCAGTACACACGCGGGAGCCAGTGCGCCATGGCCAGCGCCAGTACAGACGCGACCCAAGCGCACCCACATCGACGCGCGTGGCCACGACCCATCACCGTCTGTCTGATCGCTTCGTCGCCAGTCAGTCACTTGACGGACATATGGAATCTGCAGCGGCGTCGCAGTCCTTCAGTTGACCTGTCGTCCTCCTGTCTGCTATCAGTGTGTGTGTGTGTGGCGCACTGGCACTGACACTGACACGTCGAGCCGTCGCGCCCGGGAGGAAGCCACGTCCGTCCAGTGAAGCCCACCGACGGGATGGGCACGAGCGCTCCCAATCGCTCGCGAGGTGTTCGCCTGCACGGCACTCAGCGCTCCTCACTTTGCGTTTGGCAGCCTCGAGCCCACGTCCGCGTCCGTCCGCCGTCCACTCGCTCGTTCCCGTCCCGCCGCCGCACGAGAATGGCCCACTCGCGTCTCCTGCCGCTCGCACTGGCGACCGCAGCGCTCGCTGTCCACACGGCCAGCGCCCAAGAGGCCACTGCCGCGTCCGCTGCTGCCATTTGCTCGAGCGCGGCGTTCCAAGCGCTCGTGGGCGTCCGCCTCGGCGACAGTCCCATCTTCGTGCGGGCGCTCGTGCAGGACGCCGACGTGTGCATCGAGTACCAGTTGGACGCCGCTGTTGCAACGGACGCCACGTGGTTTGCTGTCGGGCCGTCGCGCGGCTCGAGTATGGTCAGCAGTCCCGCGGCCAACGTGCTGCTCTTCCTGAAGGACGCGGGCGTGCCCGAGTCGTACGTGCTCGGGGGCTACACGTCGAGCGACGTGACGCCCGAGTCCCGAACGCCCTCTTCGGCACTGGCACTGGGCCCTTCGAGCGCGTCGGATATGAGCTTCAGCTTCCAGCGGCCGCTAGCGGCCGTCACGGCGGCCGACGTGGCGCTCCCAGCGTCCGGATCGACTGAGTTTATCTGGGCGTACGGCACGTCGTGGCCCATCACGGGCCACCGCAGCGGAACGGCTGGCGCCGCGACGTTCGACGTGGCGGCCGCCAGCGCGGGACCGAACGCTGTCGCGAGCACAACGATCAGCGCCAGCAGCGCGTCGGCCACCTGGTGCGACGACAAGAACTGCCCGGGGATCGTGGGCGGCATTGCGTTCGCGGCGATGGCGCTCGGCGGTCTGCTGCTGACGTACGGACTCCGGACGACGCCCGTGGGGACGCTGCTGCTCCACCGGACAGTGCTGTCGCCGCCAGTGAAGCACACGACGAACGCCCGCGTGGCGCTGCCGCATACGGCACTGTGGCAGACCTTTGCCGATCTGTACGTGGGCGAAGTGCTCGTGGGGCTGCTGTTTGTCGCGGCAGTGGTCGTCTTGAGCGCGCTCTTGAGCGACGAGGCCGACTACATTGTCTCGGGCCACGTCGCGGTGCTCGTGCTCATGTTCCTGCTCTTGCCCGTCGCGCGGCTGCCAGTGTGGGCCGCGCTCTTTAACAGCTCGTTCGAGCGCATGGTCAAGTTCCACCGCTGGCTCGGCCTCGTGCTCAACATTGTGCTCATTGTCCACGTCGTGCAGGCCAGCGACGTCGTCGACGTGCTCAGCGACGTGCAGTATGGCGAAGTGACGCCGCTCTACGGCTTTGTCGCGCTCGTGAGCTTCCTGCTCATGCTCGTCTTGGCGCTCGAGCCCGTCCGCCGCTTGTGCTTTGAGGTCTTTTACCTCACGCACCGCGTCCTGTCCATCGTCGGCCTCGTGTTCTCGATCCTGCACGCGCCCAAGCTCATCGGCCTGGCACTTTGTGTCCCGCTAGGCGTCTACGCGCTGGGCGTGCTCTACCGCTGGGCCAGTGCCTTTACCGGCTCGTACAAAGCGCTCGCGTCCGTGCACGTGAGCTCGGGCTCGACGACGCTGGTGCTGGAGCCCACGACCAAGACGGGCAAGATGGCTATGCACTCAAAGCCGGGCGCGTACTTCCTCGTGCGGCTCCCAGCGGTCTCGGCGATCCAGTGGCACCCGTTCTCGTCCATTGTCACGCCGGATGGCAAGTCGCTTGGGTTCTGCTTGAAAGCCATGGGGCACGGCTCGTTCACGCACAAGGCGCTCGAGACAGCGCAGACGCAGCAGACGTTTGCAGTCAACTTGTGCGGTCCGTTTGGCAACTTGTCGGTGAACGTCGAGCAGTACAGTGCTGTTGTGCTCGTTGCTGGTGGCGTCGGGATCACTCCCATGATGAGCTTGATCAACCAGACCCGCTTGTTCCCCAAGAGCACGAGCGATCTGGACAAGGCGCCCAAGACAGCCGACTGGTACGTCCTCTGGTCGGTGCGCGAGCCCGAGGACATTTTGATGATGGAGCAGTTCCTCCCGACGCATGCGCAGCTCGACTACTTTGCGCAGGTCAGCATCCAGGACCCGAACCATGCACCGGCACCGATGACCATCAAGTGGATGATCCACGTGTCCAAGGCTACCGTCGATGGCACAGTCACGCGGGCAAACGGCGAGACTCTGCCATACCGCAGCGGCAAGCCGATCCTCGACGAGTTGATCAACAATAGTCGCTTCAATGGCCGCAAAGTGGCGGTCGTGGCATGCGGGCCGCCCACCATGACAGTCGAGGCTCAAGCCCTCGCGCGTAGCTGCAGCTTTGACTTTCACAAAGAGGTCTTCAATTGGTGAGTGTAACTAGTACGGACGCCAAGTGCGCAGGGGGCCGTAGGCAATCGCATCGTCGACGTGTACATGCAATGGGAGACTTACGGTCATGCGGCACGAAGTCGTAGCAATCAATACAGTGTCGTTGTTGGTCGTCTTAGGAGAATCGCTCATCTGCGTGCATCGGATCAAAGCACCCGTTGAGACGGTTCACTCGACGTAGTCAAAGTCGTCCTTGATGCCGAGCCATTTGTCCACCTATAACGCATCACACGGGCAACAGCAGCAGCCCACACGTGAGTCGCAGCAGTGTGGACGAATTCAAACAACCTGCAGCACTTGCAACCTCTCGGCCCTCGACGCCGCGCTTGTTGACGACCCACGCCTTGAGCGTGTACACATTGTCTACAAAGAGATAAATCCATCCACGCACGACAGTCATCATCAAGCAACGACGCACTCGTGACACACCGTCAAGAAGCCGAGCAGCATCAACAAGGCCGCACCTGTCCATCTGTCCGACCCTTCTTTTGCCACACGCGCACTTTGCTCGAGCTTTTCCAGGATCGCTGGATCGTTCTCCGCCAAGTGCTGCACCTTCGTGCGCAACGCCTGCACTGTTGCCTTTTGCTCGTCCAGTCGACGGAGCTTTCGCACACGCTCCTCCTACAACAACAACAACAACAACAACAACAACATCATCATCACCACATATGTCCCCACACATGCTTCAGTCCAACACCACCACCGCCACCAGCTGAATGACAACAACACCAGCAACAATAATGACAAAGGTGAACCCAAATGAACAAGCGGTCTCACGGATTCCGGACGTAGTGCTTTCTGCTCTTCAGTGCGTCTTTCCACTTCAACGAGTTTTGCCTGCAACGAGTGTCGCCGGTGTTCCAGTTCGCTGAGCTTGTGCTTCTTCGACTGCGACAACTTGGAAGGGAACGACCAAAAGTAGTTCCCCGACCCGATCTGCACCAACGTGTTGGTCAAGAAACACATGAGCTGTCCAGCCCCTCAAACCGACCGAATGGATACATGTTTTGGATCACCACCAACATGGCAGACCTTGTCACAGTCGACCAGTGTATCGTCCACCAAGGCTTGGTTCACGTCCTTAACTGTTTGCAGTACTTTTTGACACACGTAAAGATGGTTTAATTCAATTAGTTTCGCTGCAAGAACAAACTAAACAAGCGCGTCCTGGGCGAGCGCGTGCGTGCGTACCGACGCCAGCTTTTGCGCCGAGCTTCTCGATTTCTTTGAGGTTGAACACTTCCTTGGACTCGTGGTAAATGCGCAGGATACGCTCGCGCTTCTCTTGAAGCGACACGCCTTTGCGACCCATGAGAGAACTCGGTTTGTGGGGATCGAACCCGGTAAAACCGTTTTAACAGATCGCTGCCGTGTTTTCGCACTTAGAAGCCCACCTCGCGCGAGGCGCCAACGAGAGCAGCGGTTCGTTTAAGCGTCTTTTGCGTCCGAAACAGCAGCTCCTCGAGCGTCCCGTCGTTCTCGATCACGAGCTCAGCTCTTGACACTTTGTCCTGTGCAGCAGATAGAAATACCCATTGGACTCATCGCGTTCCGTCAATTGTTTTTTTGCAGATACTTTCGGTCCATTCAATCCCATCGTACACGTACGTTGAGCGGCATCTGCGACTTGATACGCTTCAGTGCATCTTCCTGCGGCATATTGTCCCGTTCCATGAGACGCGCGAGCTCTGTCGTCTCGGAACAGGTCACCACAATGATCGGGTAGCAGAACAACTCGAGCAGCTTTGTCTCAAACAGCAGCGGCGCGTCCAGCACCACCAGTCGTTTGCGACGAACGAGGCGGTGGTAGACGAGCTGCTTGAACATCTCCCACAGAATGTACTTGTGCGTGGCAGCGTTGAGCTTTCTCCGCTGCATTGGGTCACTAAAGACCATCGCGCCCAACTTGGCGCGGTTGATAGTTGCGTCGCCGTCGTTGAGCACGTCCGTGCCGAACGCACGGACAATCTCCTGGTAGGCGCCACGTCCAGGCATCACCACGTCTCTAGCCACGACATCAGCGTCCACGATAACTGCGCCAGCCTTGCGAAAGGCGTTTGAGACTGTGCTTTTGCCTGTTGCAATGCCTCCTGTGAGCCCCACACCGACGAACGAGGCACCAAGGAGACGTCCAGTGCAATAACTTGCAGCTACGACGACAGCGTCACGACTTGAGAACTACGAGAACGAAGCAACAAGGATCAAACAACATTGTGAATCGACACACAGTTAGTAAAAGCGTTAGATTGATGGGCAGATACGTCGATGAGTAGTTGCAGGGCAGTTCAATGGACACTGATGCGGAAAAAAGTATCTTGTGAGTGTTGATGCACAGAAATAACTTCGCACCATTGGGACAGCTGCGATCGGAGAGAGAGTCACGAGCCAGCGCCGACTCGAGTGCTTGCGAAGCTTTTCCTTCAGCATTCCCATTGGAATGCCGAGTAATAGACTCAGCAGTGTCACTACGAACAGATACGCGTTCTCCCACATCGCACCAACGTCTCTGTTTTACTATTGATTCGCGACGCAGTCGTAGACCATGTGAGCGAACCAACTGTCTTGTAGGTACTCAAACTGGCCAATCACAGCTCTCTCTCTCTCTCTCTCTCTCTCTCTCTCACGTCTGCTGTGCGCAAAAGAAGTCCTCTTGCGGTTTGAATCGGAAAAAAAGAGTCTGCAAGTAGCGATCACTAGATACTGTAAGAGTCGTTTCTGGATCCCATTACGGAATTATAGTAGCGGTAGAAGCATGAAAAAAATGCTGCACGAATGATAAAGAAGAGCCAAAAGACGTGACTTTACCGCTCTGGTGCAAACAGCGTTTGGTCGAGACGTCGATAGTTGTGCGGCCATGATGATCGATGTTTGATGGTAGTCAGGGCTGTATGATGGAGATAGTGGGGTTCCAAAAGTGTTGGCTCTTTGTGAAGGTTGCTACGATGTAGATACGAAAACCATCAACATGGCAAGCTGCAAGTGCGATGCATAGCTGATGCGTAACAGCTTAAAGTGTCGTGACGCAGTTGCTGTAGACGGCAACCTGCGAACCATGCCGGAATTCATGACTGCGATTTCTTACTCTTGTCACGATGAAGTATTGTCATCTAGCAAAGTGAGCGATTTACACAAGAGATCTAGTAAGGTAATTCCCCTTGTTTCGTCAAGGTTGCCGCAATGTCAATTCATTGCTTAGTAAGTGTTGCGCACCATATTCTTACAGGAAGATACGACATTCGTAAACAGAGCAAAGGCACCATCCTGTCATTCGTAGCTTAGTTGATCCGTGTTACAGCTGGTGGAAGTAGGCCCGATCAATGCACCAGCCACATACTAATGCGGCGTCTCTGCATGTTATAGCTTCACACATCAGATCGGATACAGCAGCGTTCATGCCGAAGATCCTTGGACAGTGACCACCACTTTGCGCTGGTGGCCAGATCTCCAGCCGCCCACGTTGCGGTGCTCGCACAAGTAGATGCCTACAACATGGAACACAGCTTCACGTTTATCCACAGTCCGTCTACAAGTAGTATTCGAAATGTGCATACCTTGCCACGTCCCGAGGTTGAATTTGCCATTCGTGATCGGGATGTTCACCGACGCACCGATCAACGTCGACTTGACATGTCCCGGCATGTCATCTGCACATATAACGAGTCGTATAAGCACAGCTGAGTACCAGTCGATACACAAGTGGAATCAAGCAGAGTGATCACCGTCGCCTTCATCCGTGTGCCGAAATAAATCTCTTGACCATGTGCAAAACGAATCGTCATAATGAGGAGCTCACATCGGCCATCAGGCGTCCGTCATACAGTCAGCAGAACCACAACACCGTACTTGTTCCACGATTCCGGCACGATGCGATTGAACGCTCCTTCCATGTCGGTTCTTTCATCCAAGCAACGGTAAACGTCGTGAGGAACTGTTCTGCACATCTGTGTTACACCGATAGACGAGGACTTACCGAACGTCGGGGTCGCAATTCTCATTGATACTGAGCGACGCTGACGTATGTTTGATAAACAGATTCGCCATCCCGACCTTCACTTGAGCCAGCTCTGGTAGCTGCCATCAAGAGCATTGAGTACAGACCGTGAGAACCCCATAGACAAAGTCAGGTCGTTCCAATGTGCTAACAGCGATCCGAACCTGTTTTTCAACCTCCCGCGTCACCACTTTGCATTCCAATGAGATCAAATGACATCAGCACATGACGATTCTATGCAATTGCTACAGACGATATTGACGCACAATGGAATCCGCGGCTGGGCGCCTTGAGCACGATCTCCTTCTGGAACCAGCAGGTAGCCATCTGACGCTCTTCTTGTCGTTCTTGGCAAAAAGGATGAATACTCGACTTGTTGATTGGTGCAGTATCAACTGTCGAACTGTGTGTGGACCACGGCGAGACCTCATCTTGTCTCTTACCACGAGTTTGGCTCGGATTTGATGCTGCTACAGAAAGCATGCGAAAGAGACCGTGCAGTTGAACGAGGCAGCACTTGGTGCAGACCCTTTTGTTGCATGTAGTCGCTCTTTCCTTGACCTTCGTCTGCCTTTCCTGAGCACGATATGATCAGTCGCTTTTTCGTAGGCACTCTTCGCGTCTGTCGCTCATTCTGCATACGATTTGGTTTGCATGTTTGTGCAGAGCATAAGCCACCGAAGTGAACTCGCCTCGCTGACAAAAGCAGCGATCGTGCATCCGTGTCAGCATTCGCTTCCAGTAGAATGGACAGAGACACGTGAAGCTACTGAGCTGAGCTGTGATGTTGTCATTTCTCCGAGCGACGCAATGGAAACGGTCCGTGGCCTTCACCGTCCTCGTCTCGACTACTGTTGGCAGTTTTCATGACGAGCTAGCAGCGTCATCCATGGATGGGCGCGGTCAACAAAGAGTATCGAGTGTCGTAGTCATACCTGCCTGCTTTGCGATGCTGTCATATCGACTAGATTGGCAGTGGCTGGACGTAGCCTCCGAGATGATAAGCTGTCGTTCCTGTACATGCTCTTCCACCCGCATTCAAAGCATCCGACGAACTCTATGAACGACACGACTGTACTCGAAGGCAAGATGCACCACTCATTTATCGACACACGCGTTTGCACTGCTCTGGTCCATCCTTTCAGCACGCACTCACGTATCTGCATTGTACGTTTCACAGCACGCAGAGCCACCAAACTTGTCGCAAAACAAGTGTCCCTCGACCCCATCGAGCTCACAACATCGTCAGTCTGCACTTCGTCCGTCCAGTTTTCCATCGCCCATCCATACCATTCAGATCATCCATCGTCCACTTTCTCCATCATCCGGATCGAAAGTGTGTCCCGCTCGTCCAAGTCCGGATCCTTTCCTGAGAATTCCACTCGCCTTCTTCTTCGTCGCCGTGAGACAGCCGGCACCACAATGGATTTTCACACATCACACACACACACATACCATATTCCCTTCCGAAAAAAGCCACCGAGTTCACTTCCGAACTTCATTTATTCCCTGCAAACCCACCAGAGAGAACCCCTCTGACCCCACTTTTCTTCACACATGGGCAAGTCCTATAACAACGCAGTTGCCGAGCAGGAGATCACGAAACTACGGGCCCAGTTGTACCAAAGTGCCCACGACGCGACGACGTACCTGGAAGCACTGAAACACGGCCTTGCGGTCTACGATCGGGTGCACCACTTGCATCATTCAAAGTCCGTGTCGTGTTTCTTCAGCGACGGTCTCGACCACGCGAAAGAAGCGGTGAAAGCCCTCAAGCACGTCGCTGATCACATGCACAAAGACGCTCGAACAATTGAGAGCACTTCTGTGTGTCGAGCCATGGAGCAGGCGTTCAATACACTGGCGGATCTCCACAAAGTGGCCGACGCCTACGACACGGAGTTTCCACCACCTGGCAAGAAACTACCAACTTCCGAGACGGTCGAGTGGCTCGTGAGCACCACGCGCGACGCCAAGTTCACTGGCTTTGCGCCATTGCAGAAGCAGATTGTCGAGGTGCAGTTGGCGACGCACGAGATTGAAAAGCCTTCGATCACGACCCTTGCGAAAGAGGTCATGCACAATGCCGTGAGCAAGATCGAAGACAAGATACTGGGCGACGACCGACAAGACAAGTGCACGAAAACCACCTGAGCTGCTGGTACCAGAGCAACAAGTTGTCTTTTCCTATTGACTAGGACGAGGAAGTAGCAACACCAACTAAGTGCAGGACGTACCTCCGCCAACTAGGACCACTCTTCTATACTTAAATCGAGTCATGCATCTCTGAATAGGACCGACCTGCTCGTCACTTGACTAGGACGGCAATCAAACAACCACCTCGATGCGTATCTGAGCATTCTTCATGCGTATCATCAATCCATCTGATCCTCACGTGGCAACAAACGAGTGAGTGAACTGCAGGGAATACGTATCATAACTTATCTGTAATACGGTCTCAACGATAGCGGCCCTTCCGCCGTCACTACGTCAGTCCGTGCCGCCGCTCCATCCACGCGCGCGCCGAAGTGCAGCAACAGCCACGCGGCCTTTGCATCGCCCCTTCCTACCGCTGTATCGAGAGGGCTCGTACCATTATACGTAGCGATCGCAGGACTCGCTCCGCCGCAGAGCAGCGCCTCGAGCACCGACAAGTGACCGCTCTGCACGGCCGCAAACAGTGCCGTCGCGCCGCCGCTCGTTTGGCGGTCGCGCGCGGCCCCCGCACGCAATAGACAGTGCACGAGCTCCACATGGCCTTCGTCGCTGGCAATAAACAGCGGCGTGAGGCCCGACCGCGTCGCGGCGTCCACTTGCGCGCCGCACCGCAGGAGCGTCCGCGCGACCGCCACGCGGCCCATGCGCGCAGCAATGTGCAGCGCCGTCGACCGGTCGGCCGCCATCGGCCGCTGCACGTCGGCCCCCGCGCGCACGAGCAGCCGCACAATGGCGTCGTGGCCCTCTTGCGCCGCAATGTACAGACACGAGACGCCCGTGGGCGGCGGCCGCTGGAAGTTGGGGTCGGCGCCCTGCGCCAGCAGCAGCGCCGCCACGTCGACGTGGCCCATCTGACAGCACAAGTAGAGCGGCGACACGCAGTCGTCACGCAGCAGTAGCAGTGCGTTCGCGTGCGCGGTCGTGAGCTGCAGTAGGTCCAACACCACTGCTGCGTGGCCGCCTTCGCACGCCAAACACAGCGCCTCGACGGCCGCCGGTCGGTCGTCGACCGGCTTTGCCGAAGTGAGCAGCCGCCGGACGACCGCTCGGTGGCCGTTCGTCGCGGCCGCACACAGCGCTGTCGGGCCGCGTCGCGCGTCGGCCTCGAGCAACAGACCGACCAGTGCGTCCCATCCGTTCGCACTCGCCACGTCGAGCGGCGACGCCAGCGCTACTGACCGCGTGTGGACGTCGCTCCCCGCGCGCAGTAAGAGCCGCGCGGCGGCCACGTGGCCGTGCGCCGCGGCGAGACTCAGTGCCGAGTGGCCGGCGGCGTCCGTGTGCTCCAAGTCGCTCGAGGCAGTGGATCGCGCGGCGAAGAGCGCCGCCAGCACTCGCGTGCGGCCGCTGGCGCTCGCGTACAGCAGCAGCGACAGCGACGACTCGAAGCCGAACTCAACGCCAAAGCGGTTGTCAACCGCTGTCGGCTCGTTGGTGAGCCCACGCGTGGGGAACAAGGGGACGTCGACGAGCGCTCGGGCGCCCGAGGCAGCGACCGTCCGCTCGAACGCATTGGCGCTGCGTCGACGCGGACTGCTGCACCACTGGCGGAACGCGTCGAGCAGTGCCGACAGCAGCGGCCGTGGCGTCTCGTCGTGCACGAGCTGCTGCAGGTCGCGGAGCAGCGGCCGCAGCGTCGACGTGTGCTGGAAAAACGCCCCGTGCGCCGGCGTATGCAGCGCGCTGAGGTGCGCGAGCGTAGGAAAGTGCGCTTCGAGGTGCAGGACAAAGGCGTGCGTGACGCGCGTGTCGTCGAGGACGAGGCGCGTGAGGGACGGGTGGGACCCGGTCAGGTGCAGGTCGTGACCTGCCACGAGCGAGCGGCCCGTGACCTGTTTGCACCGCCGGAGCGACACGGACCGCAGGCGAAGCGACCGGGCGTTGAGTACGGCCAAGAGACCAAAGTCCGTGATCGCCTGACAGTCGTCGAGCACGACCTCTCCGAGGTGCGTCCAGAAGTGCGACGTCAACAGGAGCAAGTCGCGGTCCCCGAGCGCCCGCTGCCCCGACACGTCCAGTCGGCGCACGCGGCTGTAGCTGTGCAAGAGCGCGTGACACGCTCGAGGGACTCGTTCGGGGCACAAGGAGATGGTGTGGGCCGAGACGTCGAGTCGGTCGACCGCCAACGTCCGGACGCGTTGTCGCCACGGCCGACTCACTGCTCGAACCACCTGATGGTCTCGAAAGGTGAGGAACGACAGCACGAGGTGCAGGAGTCCCTCCTCCGGCAGCGCAGACTCTAATGCATCGCATTGCCAGTGACACGAGAGCTGTGGTATGCAGACACCTGCAGCAGCGGTGGTAGTGGTGGTATATCCATGCGACAAGGGGTACCCAGTAATGCTCGATGTCGGAAACACCTGCCGAGCTGAAGGTGCTGTGCGACGCCTCCACACCCGGAGCTTCCGTGGTCGGTCCACGTTGAGGTGGGCTTCGGCACTCGGAACGGTACCAGCAATGCGGTCGCCATGGATGGCAGCTACAGGTGCGGCAACGGCGGACGACACTGCAGCAGTCACGTGTTGGAACGAACGCTTCATGGGGAATGACAGCGAACGCTCGTTGGTCGGGAGCGGGGACGGCATTGTCCGACACGCCGCCACGTAAGGAGCCAGCGGGCCAGATGGACGGGTTGGCAACGTGATGCGAAAGAGATAGAGAGAGAGGAAGCGAAGGAGTGAGTGAGGGACGAGTGAGTGAGGGCGTTGAGGGATGTGGACTCGTGAACGTCTCGCATCGTTCGTTCGATTGCCATTGAGACGACGAGCGCAAGACGCACGCGGTGTCCTCTCGTCTTCCAGCGGTAGATGATGAGCTGTCTAGAAAGCCATTGCCAGCACTGTCAATGCCTTTTCCCAGCGACACGTGCGACAACAGTCACCCACTGAGTCACTCACTCACTCATTCATTGTCTGACTCACTCACTCATTGACTTACTGACTCACTCATTCATTGTCTGACTCACCTCAATCGCGTCCTGTGTGGTGATCGCTCGAAATACATTCACATGTGTGTGTGTGTTGTTTCTCTCTTCCTCGTTGTGGCTGACAGAACGGAACTATCGAAACGATAACTGTCGACGAGGCAGACAACTTGTCGTGGACGCTGATCGAGTGTTTTTAATGACGCAGCGTCAAGTATTGTTATAGTTCCTTCCACCTATCGCTGAATGGACGAGAGGGTCAAAGTCCTTATCGTTACGAGACGTCAGTAGTGATGTGAGTTCATGTGACGTGCGTGCGCAAGTCACGGGAAAGTTGCTGGTCTGATTACGACTGGAAAAGAGAGGGGGAAAAAAGGGGCTCGACCGTTTGACAGGAAGAGCTGCCTGAGCGCAAAAAAGACGAGCGAAAAAAGAGGGAACGACCGTCAAATAGAGACCGATGCACACATAAATACACAAAACAAGTCCGTAGAAATGAGCAAACAAATAAACAGACCGACAATTCGACCGATGAACAGACCGATAAAAAGACCGACAAATAGAGAGATAAAAAGACCGACAAATAGAGAGATAAAAAGACCGACAGATAGGCAGACGGACCGACAAAATGAAGCCATGAGGCAACAATTGCGTACTAAATCGATGCCGTCTCCCGATCTTGTTTTGCTTATCCTGTTTTTCTCCCATACTCAAAGCAAGTGCGCGCCGACCGACGTGTCACTTTTTGCAACCCGCCACAATGGACACGACAGGCCGCGCGTCTAAGAGCGACGACGAGAGCGACAGCGTCCAGTACGAACTCACGGACGTCGACGAAGACGCAGAAGAAGAAGAAGAAGAAGAGGCAGAGGCAGAAGCAGAAGAGGCACAGGAGTCCGAGTGTGGCAAAGAAGAAGCGACGCGTCGAGATGCAAACTCGACGCGGAAGCGCAAGCGCTCAAATGACGACGAAGAACTCGCGCGCCGGCGACGCCGTCGACGGTCACTGGCGTTTCACCCGAAGAAGAGGCGCTCGTTGACGGCGGCCGAGAGGAAGACAGCGGCTGGAAGTGAGGCGGGCAGTGCGGGGACGGCCACGACAAAGGCGACGGCTGTGGTCACACATAGCAAGCAGTACATTAGTGACATGTACTCGACGATCATCAAGATGTCGTCAGAGAATGTAGGGTGGATGTCACTGTTGCGGGGGCATGTGGACAAGAAGCTGCTTGGTTGCGTGGGCTCATGGGTGTGTTTTTGTGGTTGTTTTCGTTGTTGTTGTTGTTGTTGCTGTCGCTGACGATAGAAAATCAATGTCAAGAACTCGTGGTCGCTGCACTTGATTGACCACATGGAAGACATTCTGGACTCGTCCAAGTATGGAAATGGGATATTGTTGAAAGAGGGTGAAGGACGAGAGCGGAACGGGTAGACAGTGACTGACGGGTGGTCGTTGGTGTTTCGGTCGATGATGTAGGAAAAATGCGGCAGGCGGACAGGACAACACGTACAACTTCCAGAGAGCGAGCTGTACGCTGGATGCGAGCATTAAGATCTACTCGTATCGAGTGGATGACACGTGGAACTCATCGTACAAGATTCTCGAAAACTTGTCGCGGACGGAACACAAGCACGGCGTCGACGATGCTGGCAGTGATGCCGAAGGTAATGCCAGGACTGCACGCAAGACGAGGAAGACACATGCACGGACGATTGAAAAGAACTTGAACAATATCAACTTGAAAGCGTACGATACAGAGTGCGAGGCAGACCCGCTGTTTCACAAGATGTCGCAGTCTTTTGACGAGGGAGGTGCGAAAGGCATGTTGCTTGCCAACCTCAGCGTGTACGACGGGTGCAAGATCCTATTGAATTCGTCGGATGTGAGTGTAGTGACACGGAAGCCGATTCATGAAGACGGAGCCAAGTCGAAAGACAAAGCTGAAAGTCCAGAAAACCAAGAGACGAAAGATTCGGCAACTTGTAAAGCGAGCGACTGCGCTGCGCAATCTGAGCCATTGCACGACAAGGACGTGGTACAGGCTGAAGGTATCGGCGAGAACGAGCAGAAAGTCGAGGAAGCAAAGAAAGAGGAAGAACACGGTGTTGAGGCGACGGATGAAGACAAAGACAGTAAACAAGCGATGGATAGTGAGGCTACTGACAACAGTGAGGGACTCGACAAGGACGTTGCAATGGAGGAAGAGCGGAAGAATGGGGAGAAAGACGGCTTGGCTGAAGATGTCGATATGGAGGAATGTGTAGACGAGACGCCAACCGCGTCCAGCGACGTCACTACGGAGGAGACACACAGCAAAGAAAATGACGAGCCTACAGAGGAGAGTGCTGTGGAAAGCATGAGTGTGGTGGGAGATCAAAGTCCTAGCAGTGTCACGGCAACGAAGGAGAAGGAAAGCTCCGACAGTCTCGGTGTGACGAAGGAGCGCATAAGTCTGTCGCTCTTTAGTAGTTTGTCCTGTATTGACCAAGACGTGCAAAACCTGAGCGTATGTCCTCCGTTGTACAGAATGTACGATCAACTGGATGAGTTCTACGGCGACGAATCCCGCCACCGACTCGGTCTCAAGAACAACTTTTTGCATACTACACCAGTGAAAGGCCAGCGACAGACGTTGGACAAGAAGGATGCTGTTGCTGTGAACTTGGCTGGTATAATGGAAAGTGCGAGCGAGGACGAACCGGACGGTGAAGATGCAGTGCTTGACGCATCTATGGACTTTGGTGACGAGAACACCGACCATAATGATGTTGGTGAGGATGGCGACATCATTGTCGATGAAGTAGAAAACGTTGTCGAAGTAATCTGTGTTGATGATGTGGCTACGGAAGAAGAGAATAACATTATTGACCTGGCGGGAAGTGGCGATGAAGACGCTGTGGTCGAAGACCTCACGCATGAGAGCGCCGAGAATGATCCAATCGCTCTTGACAAGGAGTTATCGCTGAGATCGAGTGCTGCCGACTTTTTCCGCGCAAGAGTGAACGAGAACATGCCGGAAGATTACGAGAACAATCTGTTCTCGCAGATGATTGAGTCTGCACTCGTCCGATCTGTAACGCAGGACGATGATGAGCAGGGTGTTGAGGACCAAGACGGCAGGCATGACTACTCGTACTTTGATGCGAAGATGCTTCGCAATTGGGCAGGTCCGGGACACTGGAAGTTCCCTGCTATCCGCAAGATCCAAATGAAACAGCGCTGTAAGGAGGAGACAGACAAGGATGGTCTCGCTGGCATGAACATGGAATTTGACGAAGCTGGCGCTATGATCAAAGCAGAGCCGACTGAGCTTTCTGCCGACCGTGCTCGGAAGGGATGCAGTGCTGGTACGGCAACAAAGACAGCAATCACGGTCGACTTTTTCGGAGAAGCACCTGACTTCTCCAAGTTGAGAGCTCCGAAGTCTGCAAGTAGTTTGGAAGTTTCAAAGGGGACTCTGAGGAAGCAAGTGGAGAACGCGTCGGACCTGGTCTTGCCCGTGGACACGCACATCAAGGTGAGTCTGTTTTTCCGGCACTTTTTGAAGGAAAGGCCTCGCTTCTTCCGAAAGCGTAGCACTCATCCTCTTGATGGTCCTCATCGGGAAAGCATTTCGGCAAACGATTGCGACTTTGGCGGTGACAGTCTCGACATGGATGGCGATGGCGATCGAAAACCAGTGTTTACGTACAATGAAGACAGCGCTGGCTTTGAAGGTGGATATGATGACGACGATGATGACGATGAAGGCATTGGTAGCGCTGATCATCCAGCGACTCAGTCGCTGTACTCTGCGGAAGGTCTGGTCCAAGCAGATCGCGTGGTGCAGAAAATTGGTGTACATTATGAACGGTTTGCCAAGCGTGTGGACGTGAAGAAGTTGAAGGGCAGTATATGGGAGCACTTGGAGAAACAAGTCGTCAAGGACGTAGGAGGCGAAGGCGCTGATGCTGGAACAGCTGCTGATACGGATGTCGTATCGGTCAATGAGAGTGGTAAACGCGTCCTTGACACGACTGAGGTCTGTGAGCAGGACGAGAGCGAGGGCTCAGAAACCACCTTCAAGAGCGTTGTCGAACACGTTGCGACCAAGGTACAACGAGCTCGCTTGTCTCTTGATGTTTGTTTAGACGTGACGGCACTAACGTGGTTGTGCTGGGTGGTTGATCCGACAGGTCCCGTCGAATGTGACCGTATCCTTCTACTTCATTTGCGTCCTGCATCTTGCGAACGAGAAGGGTCTCGAGCTGGCCGGTCAAGACGACCTGCGGAACTTTCGGATCCGCAAAGAGGACGCATGATGCCCTCATTGGCTCTGGCGCGAGGTTACCATGCAGTCGTGGCGATGGCGCCACGCTTGGTTTGGTGGACGGTCATCACCATTGTGTAATGTTCAATAGATAAAGGCGGCTGAGCTTCGGTCCGCGAGCTATCACAGCTTCCAGCCGCGCGCGAGTTGTTTGCTTTCCGTGCTGGCGCCTCGCGACCCTCTCGACTCGAGCGACGACTCGCTCCCGGCATCCGACAGTGCTCTTTCCGCGCTGAGGAGTTCCATCGTCTCCGACGCGAACAGGTCCTCCGAGTGGACGGCGTCGTACTTCTTCTTTGTCGTCTTCAGCGTCGCTGCCCCCGGCTTGAACGGCGTCGGCAGCACCACTGGCATGACCTCGTTAAAGTCGCGCACGGCGTCTTCGAGAGCAAGGTGGTCTGCCAAGATGTTGGTCCGGAGCGCCGGGTCGCCATGCACGTAGGGGCTATAGGGGAACGCCCGTTGGTGCGCCAGCGCGACAAAGAACATTTCAAAGCAGATGAGCAGGTTCTGGATGCCCGTCGTGACGTTGTCGACGCTCCAGGACCCGAGTTCGTGAATGAGCTGGAAGCGCGAGAGGAAGGCGAGCACGACGCTCTGCCAGAAGGAGAGGAAGAGCACGGCCTTGATGCAGAGAAACTTGGGCACGGGGTGGTACGGCGCCAAGTGCGTCCCGAGCGCCACGTAGAACAGCACGAGGTAGTAGCCCGCGTACGTGATGGACGCGTTCACGACCGCACTCGTGTACACGTAGCCCGTCGTGGCGCTAAAGTTGCCCGGTTCGTACCGGCCATTGAGCGCCAATACGATCGCCACTAGCGCCATCAGCGGCTTCACAACGACAAACTGCATGGTCGCGAGTTTGCAGTCCCGGAGGAACGCCGGGCCCATTGCAATGGGCTGTAGCCATTTGTCGAGTGGCCAGAGGTGGGGCACCGCGCGGACGCGGCGCAGGGTCTGCTGCACGCGGTCTTCGTGGCCGTCGCTCAAGTACGCGATGAGCAGCGCGAGGAACAGGTAGATGACGTACGCCTCGTACGAGTCGCGCAGCAGGTCGAGGTACAGCGCCGCGTCTTTGAACCGCAAGGACAGCCACGAGTCGGTCGCGTAGATGGGCACGAGCCACAGGATGCCGATAATCTGTGCACAAGTAGGAAACAAAACGACGACAACAGTGTCGTTAGCATGTTACTGTTTAAAACAAAATGGTACAAGGAATGAAACAGTAAGCTACGACGTTTGCGTGGACGCCTGCAGGAGATGTGCTGCGGCTGGTGTGCTCTGACCTTGCTCTGGACGTTGGGCTGTGTAAAGTGGTGGAGGTGCCCTCGGATCAGCAGGGCAGACGACACTACCGCAGCGGCGACAAACACGCCGGCGACTGCCCACACTACTCGCTGCACCACGGCTTCGGGCGCTGCTAACGTATCCGCCGGGAGCGGAACGTTGGCATCGAGCCACCAGACTTGCATCGTTTGTTTGTTCGAAACAATCGAACAAACGAACAGGCACAAGGCATTTCTATCGGTGCCGCAGTTAGAAATCGTGGTAGAAACGACCAGCTGAGCTGCCCGTAGTAGTGTCTCTGTCAACGCTGAAAGTCGTCGAGCCAGAGAAAAAAGCACAATGAGCTCGTCGTGGCTGCTTCGACGCTGCGCTCGTCCGTGGACGACAGCGACGCATCAATCGATCCACGTGGCAACGCCACTATCTCCGCTTGCTTTCTATACATCTCGCTCTCGATGGTCTGTCCAGACACTTCCTCTGATGTCACTGGAGCTACGCCATGCATCATCTGCTCACGAAAAAAGCGCTTTATTGGTCCGGTCCATTCCGTTCAAACGCTTTTACTCGGCTGGAAGGCATAAAACCCCGTGGCGAAACGACAGCCGCGACTGGACCGCTGCGTTAAAGACCAGCGGACTCGTCCTCTTGGGCGCGGGCGCACTCGTCGCCTCAACTTCATGTTCGTCTTCCGTCGGTCGTCGCAAAAACAGCCCATGGAGAGACTAACGTACTCACTGCTATGACGTTATGGGCTGTGTTATGTTTTATGACTCATTGTTGCTACTGAATGACTGTTTCGACTGTTTTATTGCTCTTTGACTGCTGTTTCGTTGCTGTTTTGTCGCTATATCATTTCTGGTGTTACTGGTTGACCCGTTCATTTCAGTGGCTTTTGGTCTGCTCATTGCTGGAGCCGCCGGGTTTGGCGCGTACGCTGTGTACCACAAGTTGCTGCGGCTGTACCGCTCACGCGCTCCGTCGTCCAGTGCCAGTGACCCGTTCAGCTCTGTGAGCTCTGAGATCGATGCGCTGCACGACACGTTCTTTCGCCGCAGTCGACAGCGTCGCAAGGCAGAGACAGTGGCCGACAGTCCGCTGAGCGCAATGGTTCAGGGACTGCCATTAGTGGTGCGAGGGGCTGTGAAGATGCTGCTGTCGGTCGTGGGAAGCGCTGTGCAGAGCTCGTTCGAGCGCGCGGAGGAGCTGCAGCGACAGACCACTGAGCTTTTGCAGGCGAACAAACGCGTGCGCGAGCAAATGGGCGACGACGTGAGTGTGGGCGAACCGGAGCAGTGGATGGAGTCGAGTGGGTGCCCCGATAGCGGTCAAAGGGTCGTGCGTTGCTGGATGCTGCTGACACTTATGTTGTAATGGACGTGACGATGCAGCGGTGAATGGCGTTGGACGCATTGACGCAGTGTTTCCAGTCAACGCGGCGTACCGCTCGGCACGGGTGACTATGAAGGCTTCGATTGGTGCCGGAGGCGATCTGAAGATGACGCAGCTCACGTGTACGTTGCGTGCAGTTGTCGTGACGTCACGCGGGTCGAAGCCTAACGCGTTGTTGTGTATGTGGATGTGCGTGGTAGATCATAATCGCCAGACTGGGGACTCGATCGATTTACTGCGGGACCCGTCTGCTGGCAGACGGCCGAAGACCGTCATTGACGCCGAGTACGTTGACCTGGACAACGACGACAGGAGCTTCCGACGATAAACGTGCAGTGTGCAGCAAGTTGGGAGGAGGATCGTGCATTATTTTGCCTTGTGCAGCTGGTTTTGTACACAGAGCGACGCTTCTTACCGTGTTTTCACTTTTCAGTGTCGATGCATTCGTCTCCACCGACTGCAGACAGCTGAACGACAGTACTCTCATGTTTGGCGCGGCATGGACGCTTCTCGTCGCAATCAACTATGCACGAGACGCTTTGCTACCGGGAACGAGCCAAGGTGCTTGACGGTGCAAACAGACTGCAGCTTTTCCACAGCCTGACGGACGTTGGTATCGTCGAAGTGGCCGACAACCTCGACGAAGAAGTTGTAGCCGTCTTGCTCTTGGCGGTAGATGGACTCGAGACACGTGAGGTTGATGCCGTAATTCTTCCACACGTCGAGCGCGTTAAACAGCGAGCCGACCTCGTGTTTGATTTTCATGCTCAGGCATGACTTGTCGTTTCCAGTGGCTGCGGGGTAGCTCTTTGAAACAGCCACGAAGCGGATAAACGATGACCTGCCTTCCGCCGCAGGACGAAGACCCTCTGACGCCAGGGCGTGGCTTGTCTCAACCTGCTTCAAGCCATTCGACTCTGCAGCGCTTGACGTGGTCACCGCCACCGACGACGCTTCGACAAAAGCACGTCTTGCAGCTTCCATGACATTGGGCACAGAGACTATCTGCGCGCTTGGCCAGCTTTGCTCTGCTTGAGCTACCAGCCACGCGTCGGTGTCTTTCGGGCAAAAGACCTTCGTCACGTCTGAGCTTTTGGTGACCTGTTTGTCTTTTGCTGCAAAGATGAAAGAGCACGTAAGCACGAGTTCAGCGGACACCTTCAGCGAGGTACGCATCAGCTGCGCCTGCGTCTCCTTCAGCATACCCAGACGCGAGTCCTCGATCGGAACGACGCCGTAGGCCGTGCGATTCGAGCAGACATCGTTGAAGACCGCGCTGATGGACTCAGCTTGCAGCAGGTGTTCCTTCTGCAGGGTATCGCTACCGAATAGAGCCTGAGCCGCGAGCCAGCAAAACGATCCCTCGATACCTGCAACAGCGATCGAAGGATGTGCGACGCGCTGCAGCAAGTACCGCACCTGCACTTGCTTTGTCAGCGGCATCACGAAGTCGCGGTACAAGTCGGAGATGAGCTGTGGATCGACTTTCAGCTCCTTGTCAGCCGGCGTCGCTGGCGAGTTCGGGTCCTGGCCGTACGTCGATGCTTTCAGCTTCACGCGCTCGAGCACTTTCTGCAGCGTGCACGAGACACATTGATCTACATTGTTACAGCAAGCTCCCACTCGAAGATTGACCTTCGCGGCAACAACAGCAACAACGAACCTCTTCGACTGCCGAGTTCGTAAGTGCTTCCATGATCCCGTCGGCGTCATTTGCGAGAATGAGCTTCGTGTAGCGCTCTGTCTCTGCTTGGAACTTGGCTTCAGCAATGAACTTGCCGAAATGGATACGCTTACTCAGTGCCTGGAGCACCGCAATGTCTGCCGTTGCTGTCGATCCGTACTACATCAGTGCACACGAGGTATGACCACCGAACCAGAGTTAGCCAAGACATCGAGCCAGCCACAACAGTCAGTCCCCATTGCCTCTACGCTTCGCACCAACGTATGGTTGCTCGCATTCGTCGTGAGTCCAGGCAGAATCTTTTCCTGGTACACGCTCATGATCTGACTGTTGATGTTGATCCGATTGGGCGTCAAGATGCGCGGGAAGTCCACGATGGGCAAAATGGGCTCTGGCAAAAGATGTGGGAAAAACGCGTTTTCGTCCGGGGACGTGTACCGCCGCGCCAGAGCGTGCAGTCGTTCCGTCTCGAGCAGCATAAAGTCCAGCAAACTGCCGTCAAAGGTCCTGTACTTGCCTTTCAGGCCTCCAAACACGGCGCTTTTGCTGTCGAGACAATGCAGAGAAGGACACACACACCGCAAGCGCCAAGAAATAAAAAGAGGATACGATCGTCAGTGACACCGTCACGACCACAACGAACGTGCGACGACGACTTGGTGAACCCTACGATGGCACGGCAACAGCAGGAGTCAAAACAGCTACTGCACCTGTCTCTCATGTTGACGTAAACCTCCTTATTGTGCGGAAACTGCGCGCGTTCAATCAGCGCAAAGATCGTCGTCTCCTCTTGACTAAACGCAGACAAAAAGGGATCCAATACAGGACGACCGCGAAAGATGAGGTGGGGAACACGAGGAACAAACACGAGCGACGAAGAGACTGCGCACCGGATGAGGACATTGCGGAAATCGTCGAGCTTCACGGGCTTCAGGGGGTCTCCAAACACGACGTTGTGCGAGCTCTGCTGCATTATTATTATTCGTAGCTGCTCGTGCTGGTGTTTGGTTGTCACTATTGGGTTAGATACGGCGATTTGCATGTCGAGGCTCACGTACTTATTCGCCAGCAGAGAGAGAGCGAGCGAGCGAGCGAGAAAAGGAACGACATGCGATTGGATAAAAAGGTGCCTGTCGCGGTCGATTATCGCGGCCAATTTAGTGGGCTCCACACTAATTGTTCGGACATGATCTACCGAAAGATTACCATCAGGACGAGACAGCTGAGCGTCATGCCAGCGGATGACAGCTGGTTGTCCATGCTGTCGACTCGAGCGACCCGACGACCGGTTTTCAGTCGAGTCTAGTACCGACGCTGTTTCGTCCTGGTGCATACCGTGCAGTTAGACACAAAGGTAAAAAGCCCCATTTAGGAACCGCACACGACACAAAACGAGGATGTACCTGAACTTCTTGGCAGGAAACCCCGTTGGGTCCTCACGCACGAGCTCCGTTGTCTCGTCCAGCGTCTCGGGAATACGGAGGCCACGTGCCACTCGCTTCGAAAGCCAAATGTGAAGCGCAGACAGTTGCTCGTAGTTGCGCAGCATGTTGTTGATCTCTTCCGGCGACTGTCAAGCAAGAGGTTGTACCCACCATTAGCACCATCACACAGCAACAATAAGGTGAACACACCACCACTACCACCACCAGCAACGACAGTAGCACTAGCAATACCAACAGTCAAAGGATGCACAAACGAGAGCAAAGGACGTACGTGACCAGCCTTCTCCGAAATCTGCCTCTTGATTTTGCCATTGATGAGGCGAGGGTTTTCGCGATACTCCGGCTAGTGCAACAATCATCACGACACGATCGAACCAGTCGATGCACAACGTCAGGAGCAACTACAACAACTATCGCATCAACGCTTCATACATCCATCGACTCCAAGATGGTCATGAACGCTTTCATCTGCTGGACGGCACTCTGTTGTCAAGCATCACCACCAAAACAACCGCAATCACACAAAGACACCACCATCACCACACAAAACCCACAGAAGTGCCACAAACACATCACGTCAGCATCCAGCTACCAACAACAGCAGTCACAGCAATAGCAGCCACAGCGCATCAACGTGGCCACACAAAAACAGGTCGCACCATCGTCGACACGCCCGGGATCATCGACCGCCAGCCGCTTGCCCCACTGGCTTCTGCGTTTTTCTACCATTGTGACCGACACAAAACATCACCACAACATCCCCACCGATCCACAGGTTATCACGACAGAAAGAGCCTCTCGTGTGCACCTCTTTGCGGTCGTTTATGCACCTTTAGGTGGTCGTAAAATCCGTTCAGATCAAATTTATCCTTTTGCGAAAGCTCAATCATCTGCTGTTTGTACGCCTCTCCTGCCGCCAGTCACCGCATCACCACATTGCACGACTGTCAGGAAAAGTGTACGCACGCCAGCAGTGCAGTGACAATTTGTACGCAGGAGCGTACCCTGTTTGTGCTGACTGCGCTCCTCCAATTTGCCTGATACCGTCTCCTTGAGGCTCGAGAACACGCCCATGGAGCGCACGTGCATGTTGATGGACGGATCGACACGTGCTGCACGCAGTGCGCTCACTGTCGACAGCATCTTGCGCTGTGTCGGCTGCAGCTGACGCGCGATTGATCGCATGACGTTGACGCGCATGAGACTCGACGTCGTTTTTTGATCGCACAGGGAGAACTGGTCGGACAAATCTGTCGTGCGAGTGGCCAAACAAGGCCGAGTTTGTTGTGAGATTGCGTGGCGAATGAATGATCGGATAAATGACTGGTGGCAAAATATCACGATAGGGCAAGTGGCTACAATGTTGAGCCCAGTGGTAACCTACTGAACTGTTCTTCCTAGCGAAACAGAGAGAGAGGTACATGCGTTCATGGGAAGTAGTCCCATGTACATGTGCAGCGTGTTATTTGCATTTATCAGTCGCCTGTGTTGCTGCTGGCAATTCATCGCGTCCTGCTCTGTAGCTTTTCAGGACATAAGATGACTACAAGTTGATGTTGGAGCTCGGCCATGGTAGATAAAGAGTAGCGAGCGACAAGGTAGACGACGAAGCTGTAGTTGTGCCAGAGCTGGCGATTGAAGCAGCCACTGTAGAGTCGGTGGCTACTTGTCTAGTCATAGGTGGCGGTGCAAATCGAACTACAGAAGGAGAGCGACGTCGGTGGTTCCGTCCGGTCGAGAACAAGCGTCGAGTTGGTTGACCTCACGACGAGCAAGCGGAAAAGATAGTCGGAAGGCGGTGCTGGTCCAGCTACACACGAAACTGATCCGTGACACAAGAGAGACCGCTGCACTTGAAAGCAACTCCACATGTCATTTACGTCACGTGCCACACGGTCGAGAGGAGCAGTTTGTTTTTTGTGACGTAAAGTTGTACGCAATGGGTTTGCATTGCCCAAAGGTCTTGCAGGAACGAAGCCACACCCACGCAAGTGCGTTCGCTACTTATGCGGTAAGTCTACCTGTGAGGGCAGAACGAGAACCTGCTGCCATGTTCTGTCATGCAAAGTCACCTGCCGACGGCAGAGTTCGTTGCTCACGTCGATCAGGATATCTCGACTGCGAGCAACTGAGACTTTGCGTGACGAGTGCGTGAGGCGGCACCATCTCCCTGTCCTATGGCGTGTGATGGTGCAAACGTCAACAACGTGCCGACTAACTCACTCACCAACGCAATGTGAGTACCACCACTTGGTTTGATCTCCGAGCCACTTGGTATCGCTGATAAGGCCATTAGCGTCCAGAAGTTTCTCAGCAGATCGTGACCCACACTCTCGCGGCAGAGGTACAATCATCACCGATTGCCATTGACGTTATTCCTTTGTCGCAGGTCGGCCATGCTGAGAAGTGCGCCGTCTCACACGCATTTACAACACACTGTGTATGTCCTGGCAAAAAGATTGGGTACATGTACAAACTAAACTCTATCTACGCGTTATTGCGACTACACACAAACTGCCTCGCAAACACAGGCGGAAGCTGCGTGACAAGAGATAGTCACAAGCAGGCGGGCAACGCAAAACAAACGCCGCGGCTGGACCGACCGAGGCTGGCCGCGGGCAGAGCGTTGAGTTCATCTCTTCTCGTGTTTTCGTTAAGCTACGACCCCCACCAATTGTGTCTCCTCGTGCTCTTGCGTATCCTGCGTGTGTCTTCCTTCCACCAGCCATCAAAGCACCGACGACCAGAGCAGCTAGCCAGCACCACGACACAAAAAGCAGGAGCCGCAGCTCACCGAACGTCTCCTTCTCTACTCCCCCGCGTACGCAAAGGAAGCCCGCGGCCGCCTCACCGAGTCGAACGCTGCCAACGCGCGACACTGCAAGACGGTCGCGTAAGCCACCGGCCAATGACCAGCGCCCTAGCCTTGGTGGGCCTCCAGAACCGCCAGCGCCTCCTGGATCTTAGCCTCCAGTGCCTCCGGACTCTCCAGCAGGTGCAACAGCTCGCCGTTGTCCATCTCCAGTAGCATACCTGTGATCTTGCCGGCCAATTCAGGCTGCTGGCGGTGGATCAGCGGGTACAAACGCTCACCAATCATGTTCTTCTGGATCTCCGGGGAAGCCGCGGCCAATGCAGCCGACGTCAACGGCTCTGGTCCTGCATTCTGCACGGGAGCGGCCGGCGGCATCACGCCTTGAGGCGGCATCTCACGAGCCGGGTGGTTGCGAGCGTTTGCCGTGTACTTAAAGTTGCGGCGGTTCGCAGGAGCACCCTGAGGTCCTTGAGGACCAGGTCCCTGGCGACCACGACGCGGCTGACCGCGCTGCTGCTGCATCGGCATGCCGTACCCAGGCATCGGGTAGCCACCGGGAGCCGGAGCGCCTGGCACACGAGCACCGTACGGGATCGGGCCCCGCTGGACACCACGCGGCATCATCTGTTGTGGGTACATAAAGCCCTGACGGGCCTGGGGCGGAAGCTGGCCAGGCTGGCCATAGAACATCGGGGCCGCACCGTACATGGGCGGCTGACCCATCGGCATGCCGCGGCCCATGGCCATGCCAGCGCGCTGTTGAGCGTGCTGGGCCTCGAGCTGCGCGCGACGGACCTCTTTGCGCTGCGCTAGCGCTACGTACACGGGCTTGCCTACAATCAGCTTGCCATTCATCTCTGCTACAGCTTTGTTGGCCTCCTCCGGGGTCGAAAAGCATACGAAACCAAAGCCACGCGAGTTTCCGTTCGGGTCGCGCATCACACGCGACGACGTTATAGTGCCGCACTCTGCAAAAGCTTCGCGCAGCTCGTCGTCCGACAGCTGATCGTCCAGGTTCTTTACATACAAGTTCACGCCCTGGTACTTGTTTATACGCTCCATCTTGAGCTGCTCAAACTTGTTGCGCAGCTCACGCTCGCGCTCCGTGCGCTTTTGGGCTTTGCCCACGTAAATGTCCGTCTCCACGCCATCGCCAACCGGGTACGACTTGCCGTTCAAGGCATCTACCGCTCGATGGGCAGAGTCCGAGTCGTCATAGTTGACGAAGCCAAACCCGCGGTTCTGATCCGGGTTGGCATTGTCTTTCATCACCACGGCACTGAGCACGTGGCCAAATGGCTCAAACTCCTTGAGCAAGTCCGCGTCCGTCCACTTGGTGGGAATGTTCTTCACATAACAATTAGTCCAGTCGTCTGCGTCCGGACGGTCCTGTCGCTTCTGAAAATGACCGACAAACACCTCGGTGCCCGCAATGAGCATGCCATTAATCTTGGCAATGGCCTCTGTTGCCGCCTCGGCTGTCTCATAGTGCACGTAGCCATAGCCTTTGCTATTGCCCGTTGTGTGGTCGATCGCGACTTTGCAGCTCAAAATGTTGCCAAACAGCGAAAACGTGTCGTAGAGCGCCTTGTTGTCAATGGACAGGTCCAAGTTCTTGACAAAAATGTTGCCAACGCCCGATTTCCGGAGCGACGGGTCGCGCTGCGACCACATGATGCGACAGGGCACGCTCTTGATGCTCGTAAAGTTCATCGTGTCGAGCGCCCGCTCGGCGTCCGCCACGTTGTGGAAGTTCACGTAGGCGTAGCCCAACGAGCGGCGCGTCACGGCGTCGCGACACACGCGGATGCTGGCGACGGGCCCCACGGCGTTAAAAATCTCAAACAGCAGCGCTTCCGTCACGTCCGGATGAATGTCTCCGACGTAGAGCGACGCCGTGTGGAACGGCTGGGCAGCGCCCGTGGCGGCCGCCATGGTGGGCGTGGCGGTAGTCGCCGTAAGGGAAGGGCTGGAGGTCGGGGAAGTCGTCGAGGTGGCCATGGCTACAGTTGGTTGGTTGTGCATACAATAGAGACAGAGCGCGAAAAAAAAAGTGAGTGCGGGAAAGAGCGGGGTACAGGTGAGTGCCGAGGGCGAGACCGGTACGAGTGGAAAGCAGAGACACAGCGCTTGTGCATGCACCTAATTGTGCCGATCTACCACCTCGCGTGTCGACGGGGGCGCGCGCAAGCGAACGCGGGATTCCATACCTGTTGGTGGCTTAGAGTGCGGGATGAGTGGATGGAGTGGCGAACCTTTTTATTTCTTTTTTATTGAAAGAGAGAGAAAGAGACTGAGCTCATGATTGGTGGAGCGCAACGACGAGGGCGAGCGGGGCCAGGGGACGACCGAGAGCGAGAGGGAGGCTGGGGGGGCGACAGCGATGCTTTCGCGCGTGCTGAGTGGACGGCCGATCGAATATTTCGGTCAGGATGCTGCGTGAACCAATGAGAAGAGGGAACTCGACGGCCCGTGGCACGGCGCGTCTGCTTGAAGCCGTTGGAGTGACTTTTGTGGGCTTCCCCACCAGTCATGGACCTCAGCTGTGGATTGGCGGAAAATAGAAGCTGCGCGAACAGTCGAGCTGACAGTGAAGCCACCTGAAATGTAGCCATCGCCGACGGAACGAGACGTGACTTCAAGTTGTCACTTGACGGATGGCGCATGTTGACTGCTCCTCGCCGTTCATGCTACTGTGAGGTCATCTGGTGTCATTGGCTCGAAAACGTCAATCAGAGAAAGAAACGATGGACATGTCCCGAAATCGTGTGGATGCATGCAGTCGTGGACGACGCAAGGAGGTGAAGAAGCTGGAGCACGAGCTCACCATAGCATGAAAAACTGATCTGGCCGTGAGTTTGTGCAAGCGTAGCGAGAGTGTCTGGTCAATGTATACTGCAGAGCGGCACGTTTTTATTGTCGCTATGGTATTTGCAACACGTTATCGTCAACAAAAACCTGCTACGTAGCGGCAAGTTGACTGTGGTCGACCAGGCGATGTTAGAGACTCTTCCGAAAACCTTTGCAAGCGGATGCTGCGTTGGACTCCTGCATTTGTGACTCCCGTACATCTTGCAGTCATAGCCTTGTACGCACTTGGCCCAATTGACGCGACGGTACAATACAGGGAGAGTTTTGCATGTCGAAAGGCGTCAATCCATGTCGAAGCCAAAAAGATGCCAGTCATGATGTTTGTTGACCCAATCGGATGATGTGCGATCATCAACAGAACCTCACACACGTTGCTGAGAGCTCTCACTTTCTAGCACGGGTTCTGCTTTCGCCACTATCGATGCTAGTATTTCTTCCGACTCGACTGCTTTTCGATACAAGACAGAGTCCCCTACTTTCCATGCGTCGCCAGTGGCTTTATTACGTGGTGCAAGGGTCCTGCACTGCTACGAACGTCAAGAGATCTGGCGGTCATGCATGCTCTTGTTAGCCGTGAAACAGCCGCAATTGACGACACCGTCAATTGCCATTGAGATGGTAACCGAGATCATTCGGCACATTCGCTTTTACTGATCGTATCGCCTTGTGACTCGATGCCATACAAGCCGAAGCATGGCATTGCCCCTTTTGATTATGCCGTTCGCCTCTCGTCCGCACCGTTCGTTAGTCGAGTCTTGACTGAATTGTCGAGGTGGCTCCGGCAGACACAATGTTTTTATATTGGTACAATCACACATGACCTGAGGCCCGTCGTGGCATAGAAGACCTAACTAAGCACAAGTCGATGATATGAGGCAAACACACAACGGACCTTCTTCAACTACTTTACGAGACTCACTCTCATGCTTCGGCAGAATAGCAAGGTGTGTGACTTCGTCTCTCTTTTTCGCACATGCATCATCGCGCGTGCTGACAAAGGCAGGGCGAATGTTGCCGTTGTCAACGTAAGATAATCTTGTACTTGGATACAACACGTCTAGATCTGTTAGTGCTTGCCCCGTATTGATGTTAACGATACCGTAGAACTCATATTGGGGTCAAAGTCAAGTCGATGTCGATACACGAATCAATTAGTTCAACTCGGATGCAACGATGCATGCGACATGAGAGCACTGCGCTGTGCGATGTGGTATGACTCTACGCCTCGTACTTCCGTCAAGCGCCCGTCACGAATATGGCATACGAGTGTCGGAAACATTTGCACTCAGAGCGGTTGACGTCTTGTGTATCGACACGTCAAAGGAGGGACGAATGGCAGCTCGAAATGTCAGTGTTCACCACAGCCAAATGGGGGCAGCTGCATCAGTACGAACGGAAGTAAACGTTCCTGGAATTTGTGGGCAAATCAGTATACTCAGCAAATCGAATAAATGATTTGAAATGCACACTCGTGGATGTAGTGGAACGTATTTGACACAGCAATCGTGCCTTTGTAATATCGTAGTGTTGAAGGACAAGATATCGAGATGAACATAATAGAGGAATGTAGTTCTGAGCCTTCGCTTTCCAGTTTGCCACATCGATGATAGGACGCAAAGTGTGTATGACCTTGACTGAGTCTGAATAATCGTAAGAGCCACACATACTTTTTGATCCAGCATCTGAACTTTCAATCAGAATGTTGGGACATGACGGAACCTTCTGCAAGATATATCGTGATTACAGTCATCTATGTGTATGTCCATCAATAGACTTACACACGATATAGCTCAGGGGGTGTAGCGTGCGATAAGCGTCACCGTGCAAATCGCGCCACCTGCTTCGAATTTAGGATCTCGGCCTGAGCTCTTCATCACAAGCTGTTGGTAAGAACCTTATTTGGCATTGCCTATCTTTTCTTTCGTACGACCGAAAAGCATGAGAGTCTTACAAGCTTGTGCCCCAAGGCTCCATATTTCGCTCGTTCAGCTCGGTTTGACATGCTAAACTCCACCTTCATCGCATCATCTTCGATGCGATGAAGCGATTGTGCAAGACATCTTTTTCGACCGCTTTGAGCTTGGAATCAGCAATCTTCAAGCTCTATGGTTGGCGTACGTGTATCGGCCTGTCAACAGTAGCGATTGATAGCTAACATGTCAAACGTGAAGACTGTTGAGCGCCATGTTAGCCAAATATGTCTGCCTATTGAGAGACTCGGTGGTGCAGCAAGGTAGACTTACGTCCGGCCGCGTCAAATTCGTGTTGTATGAACTTGACGATTGTGCTTTATTGCTCTTCTCTCGTTTTGTTCGCGAACAACAGTGTTTTAACGACTGACTCAATGACAAGCGGACTCATTCGTTTGCCCGCATCCATACGAGATCGCTAAAATCAGCCAAGCCTTCACGCGTCGCGTCAATGATACCCTCGTTCCCTATTTACATGGTGAATACGGCCGTGAGTCTCCGACCAACTACAATGTGCCGCTAGGTGTGATAGATCATGTTCACGCGTTCTGGCGCATTATAAGCTGTCTAGACAGGTGACAGCGTCGACACGTGCGCCGAAACCTCACGTATACTCTTGTGCAGGAAAGAGGCGCAGCCAACCCAACTTTCGTTCGTATAAGGGTGACGTAGGACTCTGAGTTGTAGACCCACATGCCTCGTTGCATAATCTGTTGTAAACCTGCATTGCTTCTATCTAGCGACAATGTGTATGGTAGTTAACCTTGTAAACCACTCGGCGCACGCGTCTGTTACGTATCAGTCAGTCAACGGTATCAAATCATGGCCGAGACTGTTTAGCACGACCGCAAGTGAACTTGCGCGAAGAAAAAAGCAGTACCTATCCTATCAATAGCATGCGTGAAGCGAGAAACCCAGTAAACGCAGACTTTCAATTAACAACCAACCCCGCTCCATTCTACACCTATGTTTGCGTGCTTGGCCAAGCAGCGTGCAGGCACGTCGATACCGGTATATATCGACACGTACTGAATTACCACACCCACCTCACGCCCATGACACGGCCTGCAACAACTGTCGGCGATACCGTCGTCCACAGGGCTCCGCACGCGCCCGTCCCGGCCACGGCGCTGCCGCCCGCGTCTCCGTACAACCGCTTGGATGCCGCCGACGTGCAGAGCGCGACAGCGCTGGGGCTGCTGCTGCCCGACTTCCCCGTGCCGACCGACGCCCTTGCGCCCGACTTTGGCGTCGCGTACGAGAAAAAGGGCGGCACGCGCGCCACGGGGTGCAGTGCCGACGTGTTTGCCAGTCAACGCGCGCTGCAGGAGCGGTGCAAAGAGTTTGCCATGGCGCGCGGCTTCCAGTTGTTTGTCGCAGGGAGCAGCACGCGGCCCAATGGCGGGGGGAACGTCAAGTACCGGTGCAAGAAGCTGCACGGCCAGCAGTTCTTTGACGCCGCGACGCCCCCACGGGACCTCCAGTGCCCGTTCTACATCAATGGCTACGGCAACAATCAGCAGTGGAAAGTCACGCGCGCGTGTTTCTTGCACAATCACTACAAGTTCATTGGCGCGCGGGCAGCGCCCAGAGCTATGTTGGCTGTGGGACCAGCGACAGGACCAGCGACAGGACCAGCGACAGTGTTACGTGCAAGTGCTACGCCCGACACGAGTCCAAACCAAGTGGACGTACCTCGTGAAGTATCGTCGAGCACGGCGGCGGGGACGCTGTCGAGCGAGCAGCAGCAGCAACTAAATGGTCCGTTGCTGCAATTGAGAGAAGAGGATGTACTGAGTGCTGGAGCTGGAGATGGAAATGGAGCTACTGTTGCTACTGCTACTGCTACTGTCGCTGCTGCTGTTGCAAACGGTGTTGTGGTTGCTGCTGACGAAGATAGAGGGGCCAGCATGTCGAACGAACGAGTGAAATTGCAGCGCAATACGACCATGTCGATGAAGACATTGTGTCGCATGGTAATGGACGAAGTGAACAAGTATCCGGCGTCGAACGTCGTGCGGGCAAAGCTGAATGGAAAGCTGATTCGACGGATCTTGCTGGGACAGGGACATACTATCAATCACATGATGTCGTCTCGGATCAAGCGACAGCTTCAGGAAGAGCGAATCACAAACGTACGGACGTCGTTCCAAAAACTACGCGGCTATTTCCACCATGTTGCGCACGAGAATCCGAATTCCCACTACTGCGTCGAGCAAAAGAACGACGGTGCGTTCACGCGCGCGTTTTTTATTGCAGGTGCAACGCTGAATGCTGTACAGTATTGTCGCAAAATCGTGTCGTTGGACCATATCATGTACAGCCGAAAGCTGATAGAGTCGCCATTGGGTAAACTAGAAGGCGACGAGAATGACGACGTGATTTGTGGGGTCTACCTGAAAGCCTCTACGAAGGACTTCAATGACGAAGTGATCACGTTCGCGCTTGCGCTCGTGACTGAAGAGAACCAAGCGAACTGGGAATGGTTCTTGCAGGTGCTTCAGGATACACAAGTGGTGGATTGGAATGAGTACACGGTCATTGCAGGGCGTGCCCATGGCTTGGAGACGGCTATTCAGACTGTATGGCCTCGAGCGAGCCACCACTTTTGTATGCGCCATGTTGTTGAAGACGAGCTCATGGTAGGCAAGAAGATTCCCATGACTCCGGATAAGAAGCAGAGCATTTTTGACCTGGCGCGGAGTGACAGTGAGACCGAATACGATACGCTGCGCAAGAATCTAGTCCGCACGAGCGAAGCAATTGTGGCGTACTTAGACAAATTAGATCGCAAACACTGGGTGAAGTACGCGTTCCTTGAGGCGTTCCGACGGCCTACATTCAATGAGCTTACGTCCGACCTCTCGATGGTGTTTGGAAGTGACGAGCTCTTGTCGCAGCACGCAAGCGCGAGTCACATCACATGGTTTGGTGAGGACCCTGTTAGTAGCTCGCAACCTCTCTATACCTACTACCAGTACTTCACGAGAATTGCTCAAATTTTTGATCAGCGCCGCGAGTCTGTGAAGTCGCGTCCCGCGAGCGATCTTGTCCCAAGAAGAGACGCGCAGCTTCAGCACATTTTGCAAGGAAGTCAGCGCTGCGAGGTACGACGCATGTTGTGGTGATTATGTGCGCAGACGTGTACGGATACTCACGTTTGTCGTTGTGTGAACAACGCCTGTAGTCGATTCCTTGTGCAAGCAGACTCTACATGGTGCGATATGTAGGGCCCACGCGGCTGAAGATTCCAGACAGCTGGCGTCACGTGAATCTTGTTGATTGGGAGTGCACGTGCCAGGATTGGCAAGATCAGCAATTTCCCTGCTTGCATGCGATCCACGCTGCCGAGCTAGACCGTCTCCGAATCGATTCGCTGTACCACATCAAACAGAACTCGATCGAAAGCTATTTGAGTTGCTATGCGACTTTGTTCACGCCTTGGCCCCTGGATGCATCAACCATTCCGAGTGAAGTGTCAATGAAGACGCCTCTCGACTATTTCTTTTCTGCAGATGGCTCCGGTCGACGTAAGTCTGGTCCCCGATCCAAGTTGAAGCATAGCGGGGCATCCATTGACATGGACAAAGTGGTAGCTGATTGAGTGTATGTAGTGGTGAATATGGACGAAGAATCGACCGACGTATGATGCGAACCTGCATCCGACCACCTGTCGATACGTTCCCAACTTTCTTTGGCTATTGCTACTCTCAATTCGTACAGCTGGACACCCTTCTCGATCGAGGTAACATGCTCGAGTGCGTACTCAGTACACCATGAGATGTTCGACAAGTGTTTCACGTGGTGTACTGAGTACATATTCGGAAGACGCAGACAACAGAGGTAAGTAGCGAGTGCCACTCGTGGGCATCAGATGTTTCTGTTCTCCTCGTTACCATATCGTAACAATTGACCGGAGCTTGTAATGATTGCACACCGATTTCGGTCCGCTGTTGCACGGCGATGCAACAGGCTCAAATGATTTTTTTACTAGGGTAAAGGCACGCGTCATGAAATCGAACTATTACCAGATTCGAAGTAGTAGGTCATGAAGTAGTGGTCACTGCATCGTAGCAAGTTATATCGATCGACACTTCGTTGCCAATCGCTTAGCAACGGGTCATGTGAGAAATTAACTCTTATACGTAGCGCACCGTCCTTTCGTGTGCGCAAGGCCATAGATTTATGGTATATAAAACACCCATATGATAAGACGACTGCTGCAACGGTACCCTCTGGAGACACATCGTTCCTTTTATGGACTAGATTATTGTATTACATCTATACTATCATACGTTGGCGGGAAGTCCTATAGGCATCAGTTGTCACTGCGATTGGTATGATCTGGAAATGGCTTGTCATTCCGCACGGGCTGAGTAATGCAACAGCCGCTATACAAATATTTACAGACTAATAACTCATCAGTAAAGAATTGATTACCACCTATATTGAGACTAGCGTTGCTTATCAATTCTATGTCGTTGAGTAGGTACCCGTCTGTATCTGGGTGAAAGTGAACACGAAAGAAATAAAGCTTTAGTATACGATGTCCGACAGGTTCTTATAAACATAATGCATCATAATCTGTCGATTAAACAAAACAACATATATTTGCGGCTGGCGAAATATCACTTTTGGGTGCATCGTTTAGAATAATGTCGCAAGCATTGATCTAGAGACGCTTTACTAGGCCTTATAATGACTTGCATCAGTCGATGTTGAGTGACTTAAATCATTCCTCGGGCAAGCAGCTTTCTTGCATAAGTGCTCGCAAGCGACGCATAAATGACGGCACATGTTAATTGTATGCACAAGCTAATTGTGAAGTGGACATGATGTGCTAAGGGTAAGTGACCTATGACGGCAACAATCAAAGATTAGCATCATTGCCATGTTGGTGATCGCAGAGCACTTCACACAAAATGTCCAAATATGCCGCCAGCAATTTTTCAGTCGGTTACGACTAAGCTGCGCATGACTTTATCGGCACGTCGAGCGCATATGTCCCCATTCACGTCAGCTGCAACCAGCTTAGCGGATCAAACTAGCACATTATGATGATATTATTGCAATAAATTATTCACTGTACAATTTACAGGTCTATGAATTATGATAAACGACCTTCATTGCGTATACGGACCATTACTCGATATGCAAGCCGTAATCTGTCGTATCGCTATGAAAGGAGGAGGTGTGACTTTCGTTCTGGCAAAGTAGCATATATTCGTGCATAAAGAAGTACTTATTTATACTATCGCTGATACGATTTAACGTGATCCCTGATGTCGAGAAAATGGATCAGCTCGACAGTTTGACTCCTATTAAAGCGATGATGACGCTGAGTGTATCGTCGCCAACATTGCCTAATGATGTCATGAAGGATTACGCACACGATGCAGGAATTGTGCGAATCAATAATTTAGTAATTCTATGATGGTAACTTATAATAGGGCACCGAAAGATTAGCTACCCTATTGGAATCGACAGGAAATCTGAAACGACTTGTCGTACAAACCTTTTGTTGCTAAATACACTCCACACTGTCAGCATCCCCACTTATAATACTACTTTGCTATGAATGATCATGTCTGAGCGACACGATGCATCAATAGATGGGTTTGGTGGCCATGAGAACGATTATATCACGGTATGACGTTTACTGGCCACGATAGCTTCAGCTCGTGTGCAAACATCCGTGCTTGTACATTTAGTCAACGAATAAAACCTAATTATTTTGGTCTTGCACCACCTATTCTCTATACACCTGACACAAATACTGGCAGCTCAATTCACAGAATTTGTCTTCGGATATCCCGAAGACGGTCGCACTAGATCGGTTACCATTGTATAGTTGATTGTTTTAGCGAGATGGCTCACCTTGTTGCTATTTCAGGGTCAGATACAGCATAAGGCTGTGCTCGCGTCTATATCGATGCTATCTTTCGTCTATATAATTTCCCCGTTAGGGCGTGCCCGTCAGGGACCTGCAATTCAATACGAATTTCTGTCGCTTTGGGTACCGATCACGCAAGAACGCTTATCAATAGTAACATCAGACCGCATGGACATATATGGTCAGACGAAAGGCGCAAATTTATATTTCTGGAGAGAGCCTTTTAGAAATACGTCTACTAGCGTATGAGGTAAAGTCAGTACATGCCGATGCCGACGTTCGCTATCATTAAAAAATTTGCACGAATAGCTCAAGTAAAAAAACAATGTATTCAGCGTTATTTTACGTAAGCTGTCTGTGCATACTTTTGTCAGTGTGTGACCACAACTGGGGTAAATACTTAATTAATCCAGAATCAATCTGTCTCTTGTTTGTTGATCATTGACGCACAGGTATCTCGACGGAAGTTTGCAAGCCTGATTGGCGGGACGCAATTCACGAAGTGTGATTTTAATAATTTATATTATAAAAGCTTTCGCTCTTCGAATTTTAGCTACCTAAAGTATTCGATTAAATTTTTAATCAACGGTCCCGTATTGAATCAGTCAATTTTTGTAACAATCCTTTTATATTTCATAACAATTATTTGATTACCTACGCTTAAGAAGTGGTCGTTGCACTATATTCATTACGCGTCGTCTAGAAATAACCAACGATACCAATGCTGATTATTTCATTCATGATTAAAAGAAAGAGCAAGATTGATCAAGCTCTTACCGAAGCCAATAATTCATCAGTATTAGTCATATCATAAATAACAAGAACGATTAAGAATTCGCTAAAGAGGAATTGACAATGCTGGAGTGCGCTTATCGAACATTTCAGTTGTAGACCAATATTTGAGATGAATTCCTGCTGGCACGAGAAGCCGTGATTCGTTTTACACACGACGAAAGACAAATTATAGTAAGAATCTGATTTTCGATGCAATAAAAATTAAATTGAGGATTCTTTTTTGATAAAGAATCCTCAATATAATTTTTAACGCATAGAAAATCAGATTCTTACTATAATTTGTGAGGTCGATAGCTCTCCTCTTCCAACTGTAGCTGTGGCTGGATCACCACGAGGAAACGCTACACCTTGTTATTATAAAATTGCGCAACTCCAACATATAACAAATAACTCTTCCGTTTATTTCGATGCTACTGGACACACAAATTACTGAAATTGACGCTCACGCTCGTGATCCATATCATCTCGTTACTTATCTAGTACACAAAAAGCGATCACGGTTAGAAGCCAGATCGTCAAGACCTGTCTAAACTGATGTTGTACAACCATTGAATTTATTAGTGGACTTGCACGGTGGTCGACGCTTTAACGTGGATCATGTCTCAAACCACCGCTATAAGGAGGTAAAACGGACGCGATAGCTAACTTATCAAAGTAATTGCCTTACTTTAAAGAATTCTGGAAACCTCACTTCTAGCACGTTGTTTTTAGTGTCAACTACGTTGACCTGTAAGAACAGTCCATAGAATATATGAAAATTCGTTAGAAATCATTTCTATCGTTGAGCTAGTAAAAGGATCGCAAAGCAACAATACCGTCGCGCAACCCGGACGAAATGCGAGTCCTTTGACGGATTATGTCATTAAGATGTATGACATTCATGATGCACTACATACGTTGCCTGTATAGCTCGTAAAGGGTTCCTTTGACCACAGGCAAAAATTACGCGCCTCTTAACGCAACTGATGTAGTTTGTATCCTACGACAGTGGGAGTTCTATTCGCAACATATTATGTTGCACACTGTTTTCGTCAGCAACTACTCACGACGAATGTCATTGATAATTTAAGCAACGGCTTCATTCTTCTGGATGAGCGATTTGGACTTTCATTGTACCATCAATAATTCAAGGAAACCTATCCCTGATTTATTTTCGCTCGACAATAAAGAAACTTGCGTTTGTGTCAAGGCCGTAAGGCCATGACATGTCGAAATGTAAATTAAGACTTCCGACACTTGTCATACCTGACAATCGATCGAGTACTGGTATTGGTGATGAATCAGGCTTGTGTTCCGTATTAAAAGAAAATACTGCGTTATATACGATCGCGCTTGTCGTCATCATCAGGAATGACAATGCGTTCGTTGCACCAGTGGTCTATCTTCGATTACGTTGACTCGTAATTAATTCACCCCAGCATTCACGATACAATGAGAATCGCGTATTTTACTGTCTTTGCATACTTGTGATAGCAGCTCCTCCTTAATGGAGGAGCCATCTGACTCATCAGATGGCCCAAATATATATCGTGGTGTTCCACCTTAGACAAGAATTATGTTCGTTAAGGAGACACCACCAGATTCGAATCTTTTCATTCAGATGTCTCAGCTGTATTGCCTGAATAGATGATATAAACAGAGAGCAATTGAAACAACGTCAAAGTAAAGACGTAACTTGTCAAAGTAAAGATGAAATGTAGACTGGTATGTAAGGCTCTATCGCTAATGAGAACTTTGGCTACTTACTTAAGCAATAGATCGCGCTGGGACGTCAAGCTAAGACTTCGCGCTCTTTTATATATGCTTCATCAGCATCCGCTGCAACAAGTTCAACTGCTTTTTATATGTTCTGTTTCCAAAAAATGATGTCAACCTTTTAGCCATCCTCGTCGACGTGCGTCATCACGTGACTCTGC